CACCCTATTAGTGTCAGTGTGTGTCATAGTGACCAGTCATTCCCAGTCTTTCTGCTATTAGGGTCAGTTTGCATATTACCCTTTTACTATATAGGATAGAGCCTGGTGCTCGGGTGGGGGCCGGCTAGTTTGCCCTGAAGGTGTCCCGGATCAGGGTGGGGGTCCTGCTGGAGTGCCTGGCCAGCCTGGGTGAGGGTCTGATGGCTGTTTGCAGCTGGTCACACCCCCTTCAGGGTGGGGTCCCCACTGGGGTGCCTGGCCAGTCTGGGTGAGGGACTGAGGGCCGTTTTCAGGCTGGCCGGCGACTGAAGCTCCCAGCCTCTCCTTTTTTTCTTTTTATTCTGGAATTTATTTACCTTCTATAATTGAAACCTTGTTGCCTTCAGTGGAGCTCAGAGCTGGCTCCTGCTTGCTCCAGCTCTGTGGCCATGGCCTGCTGAAAGCAGGTATCTGGAGTTTGTTTAGCTTCTATAATTGAAACTTTGTTGATTTTGGAGCTCAGAGCCAGGCCGCGGCAGGTGGGGAACCTTGGCTTTCTCCATCACTGGAGCAAGCAAGCCTCCTGCTCGCTCCAGCTCTGTGGCTGCTGGCTGCCATCTTTGTTGGTGGTTAATTTGCATATTGCCCTGATTAGCCAATGGGAAGCATAGCAAAGGTACGGTCAATTACCCTTTTTGTCTTTTATTAGATAGGATACCTAATCTTATTAGTAATCAAAGAAATGCAAATAAAGACAGTATACCATATTTTCCCATTGGTTTAGCAAAGCTGTAAAAGAATCACTCTCTCCCTTGTTGTCAGAGCAGGTGGAGAATTAAGCCCACCCTCATACATTGTTGGTAGTGGTGCAGGTTGGTTTTTTAATGAGCAATTTAGGAATGCATATAAACCCTTAAAAATATGTGATATGTTCAAGCTAGTAATGTAAATTTAATTACAATAACCAATCATGTGCTCTAATATATGTGTAGAATGCTGTTTATGATAGTGATAAATATAAGCAACCTAACTATTTAAAAACAGAGAGTTGGACAAATAAATTATAATACTTCCATACACTAGAATCTTAAATAGTCACTCAGAATTATGATTAGATCAATATTTGACAAGAGAAATATTCACATATATGTATGTGTTTCAAATAATAGGCAATTAATCCGTATTTGCAGTATAATCCCATATTTGTAAAAATATGCATAGGAAAAAGTTGAAAAGAATATATTCCAAAATTATTATCTTTTCCATGATGGTTTTAACTTTTCTCTTTTTTTGTGAACTTTCTCATTTTCTTTTTCATGTTAAGTTAAAAGGTTATGGAAGGTGAAAGGAATGAATGCCTTACATTTCTCTTCTATTACCCTATTTAAGCACCATATTGGGCTCCATTGAGTTGCTGAATGAATAGATAGAGTTTTTAAACTCCAGAAACAAACACCTGAATAGGAAAATACAGAGTACATCTGAAAAGTTAGCTAAGCTTTGATCTGGCAAAGAATCCTAGCTCATTGGTTTTTGTTGTTGTAGTTTTGTTTTGTTGTTTTTTTGCCCACAGTGAAGGAGTGAATAGTGGACCAGGCAGCAGCATGGATGATTCTGCCCTTGACCAGGGCAGCATAAAATCAGGGAGAGCAAGTATGTATGGGTTTTCTTGCTATTGTTCTGCCACTTTCTTGTGGTTTGAAGAAGTGGGTTTTTCATTATTCTCTCTTGTATGTGTTTCAGTTAAGATGATCAGAAATATAACAGAGTCTGCATCAGGGAACTTCGAGGCTTTGAGCGGAGACGTGTCTAGAGGAATCTTGTAAGCATTCTTAGCTGTAATGCTTTCTCAAGTGCCCCAAGTTTTATTTATTTTATAGATTTATATATTTTACTTATGATGAAGTTATTTAGCCCTTTTTGTGTGTGTGGTAGTGTTGCTATCATTTATTTTTAATTATCAATGATTCTATCTGAATTGTATTAGAACTAATTTATGTAAGACATAAATTAACATTTTCTCACTCATGAACCCTTTCTCCTTCACTGACATCATGTGTTTTCTATGGAAAACAAGTCCCATTTGAAGTAGAGTATGACATTGACTTTAAGTTCTTTGGTGCGTTATTTTTTAAAAATCTTTATTGTTGAAAGTATTAAATATGTCCCATTTTCTCCCCATTGACCCCTTCTAGCCCATCACCACCCTCTGCCCCAGACCTTTACCACCCTATTGTCTGTGTCCATGGGTTATGCATATATGCATACAAGTTCTTTGGTTGAAGGATTATTATTATTTTTATTGTTTAAGGTATTACAAATAGTAGTACATATGTCTCCTTTTTCCCCCCATTGACCTCCCCTAGGTTTCCCCTACCTCCCAGCACTTGCCCTCACCTCCCCCCGCCCCGCCAGTGTCTTGTGTCTATTGGTTGTGCTTATATGCATGCTTACAAGTCCTTCCGTTGATCTCTTACCCCCTCAACCCTCCCCGACCTTCCTGCTGAAGTTTGACAGTCTGTTTGATGCTTCTTTGCCTCTATCTATTTTTGTTCAACAGTTTATATAATGTTCTTTATATTCCACAAGTGAGCGAGATCATGTGGTGAGGGGTTATTTTTAAAGCACTTCTTTAATAGATACAGCTTTAGCATTTTGGCTAAATGTGTATTTTAGATATTAGGGGGAGGTGATGCTGTCTCTCCCTTAGTTTATCTTTGCCGCTTCAGATTTCATCATGCAAAAAGGTGGTTTAAAACGCATCTACCCAGTCTTTGCTAAGACCTGTGGTAAGTTGGCAAAGAAGAAGAGGAGACCTGGAACCCCATGAAATATGCAATCCAAGCTTTCACAGGGTTTATGATCTAATGTTGGTGGCGAGAGAGACACTCACAAACATCAACAAGCTGTAGAAAATATTAGGGAACATGAACATTAAGTCGAGAGGTACAGGCTACAAATGTAAAACTCCAAAAACTGTTTCCTGGTTAAAGGCCTATTAAAACCTGCCATGATCCCTTGACTGAGAGAGTAATGTGTCCATTTATTTCAGGATCTTCCCTACCACAAGCAGAAATAGGAACTCGCCAGTGTAGACGGATCAAAAGTTGGGAGTGAAGGGGAAAGGAATAAACAAAAGCTGTGCAAGTTGACTTGATAACCGGCAGATGATGCATACCTGACAATTTTGGACTAATCTTTGATGCTATTATAATAGATGCTTGAATGGATGTTTATTGTATAAATAAACTCCATTAATGAGGATGGAAGATGATAAAGTAGAAAATCCTGCGGGAATATTTAAGCCTGTTTGGGCTTAACTATATGCCTTATTTTGATTGGAAGGAATTAGACATATTGAAGATTATTTATTCTTACTCCTTGTTTCCTCTGCAGAGAGGTGTCTGACTTGATTACCTATGTAGAAGAGCTGCATTCCAACAAGCAGAAACTGGAAGAGGAAAATAATCAGCTCAAGTTGGCATTGGAAACCTTGGAAGAAGCTAACAGCCGGTTATCGGAGGACTGTACTGAACTGCGCCTACAGATAAAAAGGTGAACAGCTGTGGGGTGCCGCATGCTGGAGTTTTCAGGGTGGCTTTTACTTTAAAAAATATGCTTTTTATTGAGATATAATTCCCATCACATAAAATTTACCGATTGAAACTGTACAATTCAGTGGGTTTTTTTTGGTATATTCACAAGATTGTGCAGCCATCATCATGATCTAATTCCAGAACACTTTTATTCCTCCAAAAAGAATCCCACATGAAATAGCAGTCACTCCCAGTACCTGCTTCCATCTGTACCTTGCAGCCACTAATCTATTTTCTGCCTCTATGGATTTGCCTTTTCTAGTGATTTCATATAAATGGAATCATACGATCTGTGTCCTTTGTGACTGGCTTCTTTCACTTAGCATATGTTTGCAAGATTCATTCATGTTGTAGCCTGCACCAGTAGCTCATTCCTTTCTATTCGGTGAAAAACAACCCATTGTATGGATATATGCCATTTTGTTTATTCATTTTTCGGAGGATGGACCCTGGGGTTATTCCACTTCCGGCTCTCGTGAACATTGCTGCTGTGAACACCTGGGTGCCGGTTTTTGTGTGGACATGTTCCTAGTTCTTTGGGGTCTATACCTAGGATTGCACTTGCTGGGTAGTAACCTATACTTAGCATTTTGAGGAGCTGCCAAACCGTTCTCCAAAGCAGCTGTACCATTTTATATTCCCATGAGCAGCTGTACCATTTTATATTCCCATGAGCAATTTCTGTCAGTTATTTTCTAGCAATGATATTCTCTAAGTCACTCAAGGTCATGTTCTCTATGGAACACCATTACACCGAGGGGCCAGGTGTGGACCTATCCAGAGGAGTTGTGTGGTTTTGTTACGCCCTTATTCTATGCTGTCTCATGCTAAGTATTATGAGAGATTTGTTGATGAGTTAGATTTAAAATGTGCCCTCAGGGTACCTATACCCTAGAAGGATGATAAGGAAGTTCCTGACCTTAGCTTACGTTGGAAAGGCCAAAAGCACCTAGGAGACATACCAGGTAGTGTGCGACACTGGTAAAGTGGTTGCAGGAAGATGCTTGAACATCAGAAAAGAAGCAACAGGTTCTCACTGAGTTGTGTTTAAGATGCAGGTGCTAATATTCTGAACGGAAAGTTGTAAGTTAACTTGAAAAGACGGTAGAGCATTTTGACCGTGGGCACATATCCTGGTAATTTTTTGACCAGCCAATCCAGCCTCCAAACCAAAGTATAAACGTTCACAATATGCTTACCTCAAGCTCTTGCCATTCCACGTTTGATTTATTTATTATTTATGTGAAATATAAGAAGTTAAAGTTGATTTTAAAAACAACTATGCATTGGGTGAACGTGTCGGTTAGGGCTTTTGGTTGTAACACGTTTCTTTACTGCGGACTCTGGTTAACTGAAGCAGTAAAGAAATGTGTTAGAAGGGAATTGGATTCCTCACAGAAGGACAGAAAGGCTAGAGAATCAAGATGAGCAGCCTTTGTCCTTCGCTTTTCTCCTTCCCCTAATCCTTCAGAAAGGGCCTCTGTTTCCTTTCATCGCTCACAGCCTATTTTTGATATTGGACAGGTGTCTTGTTGTAGTATAATTTGTCTTCTATATGAACTGCCCTTGTTAACAGGAGGAACTTAATCTTACCCACGCTGATTACTCCAGTGCTTAGGAGAATGTCTGCCACAGAAGAGCTCTCTCATCCTTCCAGTTGCCTGCAAGCCAGAAATCTTTGTCTCTTTTTTCTTCCTCAGCCTTCGCTTCTAAATCAAATAGCAAGGCCTGTTCAATGGACCTACTTTATGTCTCTCAAATAGATTTACTTCTTTCCATTCCTACATCTGTCACGTAGTTCAAGTCAGCATTACCTTTCTCCTGGATCATGACAGCAACCTCCTGATTAGGTTCCTTGCCTTTTCCAAAAGTGTCACACCTAGGGGAATGCTCTTCCTAAAGGCCCATCTGATTACATTATGCCTCTGCCCCAAACACGTCAATGGAGCCCTAACATATTCGGGATAAAAATCTAAATTCTTTCATCTAGTTTGCAAAGCCTTTCACGGTGGGGCCTCTGTTGCCTTATTTCTACTTCTCGTTTTCCACTCTAGGCTCTAACAATATCTAACTGCTTGCAGCCCCCCAGCGAGCTTCTGTTCTCTCCCTCCCTCCCTCTTCTTCTTTCTCATGATCTGAACTGTCTGCCTTTAACACGGTGTCTGCAGAACTTGGGTTCACTCCAACCTTGGTTCTTGTCACACTGTATTGTAAATGATGATTGTCTGTTTACCCCACTAGACCATATATTCCAGGAGGGTAGAGTTCTCGTGACTGAGTTTACTTTTTTCTTCTCTAGTATCTAGCATAATGCCTGGCACAGAGTTGGAGCTCAATAAATACATGTTGAATGACCAATGTAATTCTTTAATAAGGCACACATTGTACCTTCTTTGAGACCCTGCACAGAAAACAGTTTATAATCTAGTGGGAGTACAACTAGGTAATTCCATGATATGGATTACCATAATACAGTTAATAAGCTTTCTTAGTTGGACAGTTAGGTTGTTTTCAGTGCTTTGTTACTGTAAACAATGCTATAATAAACCTTTAAAATAAAATACAAGGTGTCCCCAAAAATGTATACATACTTTGAATGATTATAAAGTCAGTGTTTATTAACATACAGTTCATTTTCAAAATTTAAAATAATCTACAGAAATGAATAATTTTTTTGTCAATGCCTGTTTTCAAACTGATGACCATTCTGGCCCAGGCACTGCTGATAATGTGAAGCAATGGAATCACAAACATCAAGAATCATTTCATTTGGTATTTGTGTGCCCCCAACTCGACTGCTGTAGGTTTTGTACTGTAAACTTTATCTTTTATGTATCTCCATTTAAAAAAAACAGCCTAGTGACACTTTAGGATACATTTTCTTTGCCCAAAGCTTAGTTTGGCTTCACCCATTATTTCAAATCAGTTAAACCTGAAAAGGAGTGAAAAGGGAGTTATCAACTATTGAAGCGTGTATACATTTCAGTTGTCATCTCCTTGACTAGTATTAATCTGCACAAGGGCAAGGGCTTTGTCCCTTTTGTCCACCATCATGGGCCCCTTGCAGGGTACAGCACCTGGAACATGCTATTATTGAATAAATATTTGTGGAATTGCACTAACTAATATTACATTTTATTAGTAGAAGGAAAGAACTGTGGGATTCAGCCAACGAGGATTTCAAAGGGAGTCTCCAAATCTTTATCTTCGGGAATATGTTTTTTTTCCTTCTATCACTTTCCCCCACCATCACCCTGCCCTGAAATCCCTTTCTTTACCAAGGACTATGAAAGATAGTGGGTATATTTTTACTATTGTTGGCATCTGGTTTATATTTTCAGTGGTTTTCAGCTTGGATCTAAAAATAGTCCTTGGCTTTTCTTAGCATGTTTGACAGTTACACTTGAGGTTTTGCTCATCGCCTTCTTCCCCCCACCCCCACCCCCACAGTGCCCACCAGGCTATTATGAGAACAAATCTGTTACAAGAAGAACTAGAGGAACTGAAAACTAGTATGAGTGCTTCAGAAGAGCAGAAGACCACAATTGTAGCCCAGAACAAACAATTAGTAAGTCATCCAAGTTCCTTGAAACACCAGGAGGGTTTATTTGGAGGCAAAAGTCAGCCAATAGTCTGATAAATGAATAATGGTAACACCTTAAACAAGTTAAGGCAGGTAGGATGAAAACCTGTATTTTTCTTTTCAACCAAGATTAAAATTATTTACAAAATGCTTGGTCATATTCACAATGGTTTGTGAAGATGTAGAAGATCTCTAAAATGCATCCTGAAGTTGATAGGTGAATTCATAAGTACCTAATACCAAAATCCACTTGAATTTTTTTTTAAAATTCTCCATTGAACTTTCAACTTTTTCTCAGTTAAAAAAAAAAGATCAATTTTCCCAATACTTTCAGATTACTAAGAAGCTCCATAAATCAGTCCTTATACTAAATCAGTACAGGCTTGTAATTTTTAGAGCAAATTGCTATTTAGGCTAAGCTTTAACTCAACAGAGAAGTACAAAATCATTTTTATTGAGAATGTTAAATTGTTATTTTTAGTAATATATTACAGCAGTAGTATTCTAGCATTGCTAATGACGGTGGGGTCAGCTGAAAGTCATTCAGACTAATTTATTTTTAGGTCTGTAATTCATCAAGAGACGGGCTCCAGGTCTGTGTCAGTCACTCGTGACCTCCCACAACCAACACAGCTTAGCTTCGCTCTTACCTCAATAGTAAAATGTGGGACTAGACTCACTGAGTGTCAGGTGACTCTGCAAGTCTCTATGAGTGCACTACAGGGAATATTCGATTTGGGGCCAATGAAGAGCTTTTATCTGGAGGCAATGTAGAGAAATTATCAAGAACCTACCCTTGAAAATCAGAAGGCCAGCAGTCAAGTCCTGACTCCTGGGGCTGTGTAACTTTAGACAAACTACATAACCTCTTTAAGCCTCAGTGTCCTGAGACCCTAGGGCTGAGAAGGTTATATGAGTTAATATATGGAAAGCACGTAATGTCCTCTTTCCTCCTAGGGCTGGGTAATACTTGCTATTATTAAAAGCAAGGAGTCCTAGATAGGCAATTCTAATTCTTTGCATTTTATAGTGTTTTAAATTTTAAAATAATTTTGAATATTTCATTGGTCATCATGGAAATTCATTGAGGTAGAAACAGAAGTAGCTATTTTTCATGTAAAAATTAATAGAATTATAGGTAAAGTCCAGAGATGTTTTGATTATTCAAAGTCAATTGTCTAATAAATGATAAAGCTAGAATTGAATTCAGGTCTTCTGATTCCAATTATGTGTGCATGGGGAGGAGGTGTTCCTTCATTCTTGTATCAATGACAACCTAGCCTGACATGTTTTCCCTTTTATTTTTATATTATAACTAGAGGCCTGGTGCATGAAATTTGTGCATGGGTAGGGTCCCTAGGCCTGGCCGGCCATCAGGGCTGATCTTCGGGGCGGCCAGTGGGATGATGGGGAGCCCCTGCTGGCACCCGCCTTGGCAGGCCCAGCACTGCCTGCTCACTGACCCTACCCCCCCCCCCCGCCTCTGCCACTGATCGGGGCCTATGGGCTTGGGGCAGCTCCTGCATTGAGTGTCTGCCTCCTGGTGGTCAGTGCACATCACAGTGACCAGTCATTCTGCCAGTCGTTCTGCCGTTCAGTCGATTTGCATATTAGGGTTTTATTATATAGGAAGGTAATTCCTAGTTACTCTATAAAAATAAAGAAATGCATATTAACAAAAAAACTCCCACTAAATTCTTATCCTACCGTATCAATATATTTATCCTACCATAGCAATATGTTTATTGTTAACATTTTGGCATTTATTTTGTCCTGGAATATTTTTTTCTTCTGAGGGTTCTGAGTTTGGGGCTCTTCATTAGAAAATTTTTTTATAATCATATGGTAATGTTGAATCTGGGAATATCAACAGCTCCAAGTAGAAAACTAGATCTCTTTAAGGTTTCAAAGTGCTGTTTAAACAGATGAGTTCACAGTACCTGTCATAGGTGGATGGCGGGAAGTAGCAGGGAAAGAAGCCAGGCGCTTTCTTTTATGTTTTTAGTCTTTCCTTCCTACTGTCATAGATTAAGTCAAGGAGAAGAGTGACTTCTCACAGATCCCAAGAAACTGTTAGCCACAGACTTAAGCCCATGTTGGAAATATTTTCAGGCTAGGCTCATTTGTGATATGTCAGTGCCATGCTTAAAACTAATAAAGGGAAAGAATGTCGATAGTCTTGGAGTTAAATATGTGGTATTTTCATAAACTTCTAAAATATTTTTAAATGACTTTTCTTTTAATGAATCAGGAGGCAGAAAACCGGGCTCTGATTCTTAAGATTCGGATTCTCCAAGAGGAGGTATGTTAAAATCATTAAACATGGGCACCAATAAACTGATAGAATCAATCAATCATGGGTCCTGACCCCGGGTTAAACAGAAATGATGTGAGTATTCAAACTCCTGTGGGCCAAAACCCAGGTTGCTTTGTCAAATGACAAATGAGGGAGAGGGGATAGGATTTTCATGTCTGGACAGAAGTATCTTATTACCTTGGTATATGTCCATGGAAGAAGTGTGGTTTTAAATATTCAGATTTAAGATGAAGTGAAATTAACACATCTAAAAACTATACAAATCAAGAAGGAAAGTGTAGAAATTATATATTACCTTTCTGTTATTATTCTATTGAACTAGGTGACAAATGTCTTGAATCTAAGACCCAGATCTTAAATTCACTGTAAGTCTGACCTTGGAAAAGACATTTATATTTTTTGAGCTAATAATACCTATTCCCTCAGTTATTTTAGAGATAAAGATAATGCAGGTGAACCCATTTGTTTACTTATAATGTACCTCATATATGTTAGGAAATATGAGTAAAATCTCTAAAAAATGAATAATTCAATGCAATATATCTTTTTAAGCAACAGAATTAAAGCAATGAAAGAATGGGTAACAAAGCTACTAGTAACTTACTATTTTGGAGAGAAATTCTATGTAGGTGCATTTTGAATGGCAAGTGTTATGCACATTTTAAAATTTGGGCTTTATAAAAGTTTATTATTTATTAAGCTGTGATGAACAATCTGGAGAGTTATCCAAAATATGGACCAAGTGAACATTAAAAAATTTCTTGGTGGGTTAAAAAAGAAACAAAGATTGGAAAGAAACCCTACCTTAGATTCAGACATGTTATAGCTACAAAAACTAGTGCTTTACAGTTAAGCTCCCAAGGTAAGATGCTTTTCTCCTTGAATATAAGATGATTGACTAGCATCAAAGAATTGTACCAAATCAGTTTAGAATTAAGATAGGAGGAAGGAGATTTAGAACCCTTCACAGCATTGCAATGACTGATTTCCATTAGAAAAGGCACGTCAGTGTCACTGCTAGCTAAGATTCCTTTTGGAGGCAAAAATCTGATGCATTGTGAAGAGTAACAGCACAGTGGTTTGGGTATTCACATTCATTCATTCATTCATTCATTCATTCATTCAACACATATTCTTTGGGAGACCTTTATGTGCTAGGCACTATTCTAGATGCTGAGGAAACAAACTTAAGCAAAATAGCCCATGTGGAGCTAGCATGTTAGATGGTGACTAGTGCTGTGGAGAAAAGAAAAGTGAAAACAGTTGTGGGGGAGTACAATTTAAACTAGCGTGGTTAGGATAAAAGTAGCACTGTGAAATTACTCATTTGGCTAAAAATTGGAAAGGAGGTTTATCTGTGGAAGAACATTCCAGGCAGAAGAAATGGCCAGCTCAAGGACCTCAGGCTGTAGCATGCCTGCTGTCATTGAGGGAAAGCAAGACCAGTATGGCTGGATCAGAGGAAATAAGTAGCAAGAAGTGTGGCAGAGAGCTGCCTGGAGCCAAACCCATAAGGTCTTATATGGGCATTGTATGGACTCCGGCTGTTTACAGAGTGGGATAGAAACTGGGAGACCAATTAGGAGGCCCTTGTAATAATCCAGGCAAAAGCAGTAGTGGTGGAGAGAAGTGTGCAGATCAGCAAATGCTTCGTAGTATATCCAAAGGTATTTATTATATATTGCAGTACTATGAAAGTTCTCTTATGTTTCTAAAATTGTCTCAGTGAAATATGAAGTTATCAACTGAGAGTGAGGATGTTGGAAGAGGTATTGGAAATTCAAGAAGAGGGAAGGGATAAAATAAGCAAGGAGTTGGCAAACTTTTTGTAAAGGACCTGATAGTAAATATTTATAGGGTTTCCTGGCTAAAAAGCTTTGACACAGCCACTCCCTTCTGCCATTGTAGTGTGAAAGCAACCAGAGATAATATAAAAACAAATGGACACAGTAGTTTTTTAATAAAACTTTATTTACAAACCAGGGTGTCAATTAGAGCTGGCCTGTGTGGCTGGGGTAGGAAAGTTAGTGTAGTTTGCAAATCCCTGATTTACGAAAATGTCCAGAAGAATAGAATAGGATTATATATGATATGATTGCCAGTAAACATTGAGGTGAAAGGTGATAAATTTAACATGTGAGCTGTTGGTTCATTTGTGTTTTTCTTTAACAATGTTCATCTGGAAGGGTGCTGGCACAGAGTAAATGGAAAGCTCAAATTAAGCAAATACTAAGAAGTAGGGAAGAGGCAAGGGAATTGAGGGGATGTGGAAGAGGGTGGTTGTATGGAATGACCACAGAATAATTTAAGCCGAGTAAAGATGGACCGAGTTCACAAGAAAAGTGGAAGAATCATGGGAAGGTGGTCAGATCAGCGGATTGCAAGCTTCCGTGGGGATTGAGGTTTGTTGGTGCTCAAAGAAGTAATCTGGAAAGACAAGAAGTGGTGGTTGAAGAGGGAGAAACTTGCAGTCAATATAATGAAAGGGCCACCATTACTGGTAATGACAAGTGTGAAAGGTGTGAACTAGGGAGTGAATGCTGTGGTGGAATGTAAGATGATAAGGGGCTTCCTAGATGTCATGTTAAAAGGCCCATGCTATCTAAAGTTTTGTCCCTTAGCTTAAAATGGATTATGATAACAATGATGAAAATACTTCTTCCTAAAAAAGACTTTAAGACGGCCTCTTATTTTTTATATTTGGACTAAATCAAAGAATACTATCTTTTTTTACATTAGAATACCAAGAATGTTATGGATATATATGCATTGGAAAAGAATATTGAGGAATTGTCTAAAACTGAGACAGAGCACCAAGTAAGCATTTCCCAAATACTGGTAAAACATTTTCTTCCATCGAGCTAATATTACTCTATAAAGGTGTGTATGACTCATTGGTACAATAACCTTTTGCTATAAACTTTAAAATTTGTACTCCTCAAGATGTCTGAGTTATATAAAGGGCAATCTCTATTTTTTAATGTAACAGCTTTACTGATAAATAATACACATGCCATTAAATCCACCCACTTAAAAATGTACAAGTCAGTGCCTTTTAATATGTTCAGAGTTGTGCAACCATCATCAAAACCAGTGTTATTGTTTATGGAATTTATTGAGGTGACATTGGTTAATAAAATTATACATGTTGCAAGTGTACAAGTCTATACCACTTCTGCATACTTCATCATGCACTCAACACCCAAAGTCAAGTCTCTTCCGCCACCATATATCCCCCTTTGCCCACCTCCTCCTTTCTCTGGTAATAACCACACTGTTGTCTATGTTTATTTTTTGCTTAATCCCTTCACCTTTTTCACCAATCCCCAAAACACTCTCTCCTCTGAGAGCTGTCAGTCTGTTCTTTGTCTCTATGGGTCTGTTTCTATTTTTTTTCTTAGTTTATTGGATTCCACATATAAGTGAGATCATATGGTATTTGTCTTTCTCTAACTGGCTTATTTTGCTTAGCATAATACTCTCCAGATCCATTCATGTGGTCACAAAAGGTAAGTTTTTCTTCTTGTTTATGGCTGAGTAGTATTCCATTGTGTAAATGTACCATGAACTTTTTATCCCCTTATCTACTGATGGACCCTTGGGTTGCTTCCAAACCTTGGCTATTATAAATAACTAGAGGCCCAATGCACGAAATTCGTGCACAGGTGTGAGGGGGGTCCCTCAGCCTGGCCTGCATCCTCTCGCAATCCGGGACCCCTCGGGGGATGTCAGGCCTAAATCGGCAGTCAGACATCCCTCTCGCAATCTGGGACGCTGCATGCACCAGTGACCATACTTTTCATACAGGTGAAAGGCATCTTGCTGTGTATGGGCAGCTACATTTTTTTGCCCTGATTATAAAAAGTAGTATGTAACGTGATCCTTCTGAGGCAGTAGTACCATTTTCCCCATCTTATGGGTGGAAAAAAACTGAAGCAGAGAGAAGTTAAGTAATTGGCTTTGTCACACAGTTATAAGTGTCAGAATCAGGGCTGACCACAAAATGTGCAAGCCAGAGTCCATGCATGTCATCACGGCATCATCCTGTTTTTTCAGTGTTAGAGTAGCCTTGCCGGGTTTTAATTTTTAAATCTAAGAGACTGTTCCCGATATATAGGGTAGGGTCCCTAGGCCTGGCTGGCAATCAGGGCCATCTGAGGAGTGACTGGTGGGCGGGGCAATCGGGGGGCTCCTGCTGGCATCTGCCTTGGCTGGTGGCCTGGCGCCCCCCTTTCACCCCAGCCAGTCACCTCCCTCTTGGGGGGCAGGAGGGAAGTAGATGCTCCTGCATTGAGCGTCTACCCCCTGGTGGTCAGTGCATGTCATAGCAACCAGTTGTTCCACTGGTCATTTCACCGTTTGGTCAATTTGCATATTAGGGTTTTATTATATAGGATGCTACCATGAACATAGGGATGCACATATTCTTTCAAAATAGTGTTTCATATTTCTTTGGATATATTCCCACAAGTAGAATCACTGGGTCATTAGACAGTTCCATTTTTAATTTTGGGGGGAAACCCCATACTGTTTTCCTCAAGGGCAGCACCAATTTGCATTCCCATCAATAGTGCACTAGGGTTCCTTTTCCTCCACATCCTTGCCAACACATTGTTTGTTGGTTTATTGATAATAGCCATTCTGACAGATGTGAGGTGACATCTCATTGTGGTTTTAATTTGCATCTCTCTGATGATTACTGATGTTGAGCACTTTTTCATATCTTTATTGGCCATCTGTATGTATGCTTTGGAGAAGTGTCTATTCAGGTCCTTTGTCCATTTTTAATTGGATTGTTTGAGTTTTTTGGTGGAGTTTTATAAGTTTTTTATAAATTTTGTATAGTAATCTCTTATTAGTTGTATCATTGGTGAATATATTCTCCCATTCAGTGGGTTGTCTTTTTATTTTGTTGGTTTCCTTTGCTGTGCAAAAACTTTTTTGTTTGAGATAGTCCCATTTGTTTCTTTTTTCTTTTGTTTCTCTTGACCCAGGTATATATCAGAAAAAAAATATTGCTAAGAGAAATGTCTCAGATTTTACTACCTATGTCTCTCAAATTTATTATGATGGCTTTATGATGTAGGTGTCTTGGACTCAGTGGACAGTCTTCTGATCACCTGCGCTAGGTGCTCCAGGAATATCTCTTGTGTGGGTTATGTGTGCCCTCCTGCGTAGTTGAGTTTTGAATGCTGTTGGCCCATTTGTGGAAAGAGTTAACCCTCAGGCTGGCTGACTATAAAAATAGATCTTAATCACCACTTATGAGTCTCTGTGCAGGGGCTGCCCTCCCCCGTCCCAAAGCAGAGTTGTTCCCAACAGGGTCTGATGCCTGCTGGAGTTCCCCCTTAGGTGTGCCACTTGTATGGCTAGTTGGGTTGAGCTCTGGTGTGGTCTGAAGCCTACCATTAGTTGTGTTGGTTCTGGGTCCACTTGGGCAGGGTTCCAGTGCAGGTCAATGTCAGACATTGTGCATAACCAGCCTTAGGCTGCCTGTCTGAAGTGACCACACTATTCACTGTTTGTGGCTTGATCTACCGGGCCTGGTGTCCTCCAACCCTGAGCCTCGGTAGATCAATTAAAGGTCTAAATCAGGAAAGATTTCAACAATTTTACCTTCCCCCTCTCCCCCCCATTAATCCTCACCTGAGAATATTTTTCCCATTAATTTTTTTTAGAGAGATTGGAAAGGAGTGGGGGAGAGAGAGAGAAACATTGATGTGAGAGAGACATATCCATTGGTTGCCTTTCTCATGTGTCTGGTCAGGGATCAAACTTGCAACCTAGGTTCATGCCCTTGACCAGGTGTCAAGCCTGTGAACTTTTGGTGTGTGGGCCAATGCTCTAACAACTGAGCTACTCCAGCCAGGACAATTGTACCTTTTTAACATGGAAATGAGGAGAGCTGGGAAAATAAATCGTTACTTGATTAAATTAAGAAATGATACCTTGCAATATAGAGAAAAATCATTTTTTATCTAAAAGTCTATGTTTTGTATATATATTTTTTCTATTTCCTATACATTCTTATCAGGAAACAGAAGACAACTATTAATAAATTCAGGAATTTGTGTCATGCTTATTGTCACCTCTAATGGTTTATTTGAGCAATATTTTTTTATTGTAGTACATGTTTGAAATGATGATGTACTTAAATTTCAAGTCTATATGTGGAAGTCTCAAGTTTCCTAGCAGATATTCAAATTCCATGTGTGTATACACTTATACATATACTAGAGGTCCAGTGTATGAAATTTGTGCACTGGTAGGGTCCCTAGCAGCTACCAGCTGCTGGCTGGGGCCTCCCTCCCTTCCCCCTGGCTGGCCCTGCCCCCTGGTCGAACTCCCAGACAAACTCCCGGTCGAGGGGACAATTTTCATACTACGCTTTTATTATATAGGATTATAGCAGTTATAATTTAGACATTAATTAATTTTATCCTAGGAATGGCTGTCTTTGGAAAGCATAATTAATCTAGTCATAATCTAGTGGAAAGAGCTAGAAGACACGGGTTCAAATCCTGTGTTCTTTATTTAGAAGCTTTGTAATCTCAAGGAACTAGTTAACCTTTTTAAGTCTCAATTTTCTCATCTACTAAATGGGTATATTTTCTACCTAATACACAAACTCGAATGAGATGATTGTGTGAAAATACCTTTAGATCTATAAAGACATATCAAATATACTAGTATATGATTATGATGATGATCCTATTTCTGACTATGCTGCTTATTTTTTCAGGTTTTCAATGCAATCACTATACATATCTATCTGTTGTGTTATATTTAGAAGCCTATAGCAACAAGCTTGCTTTTGGTTTGAATAAACTGATGTGTCCTTACTGTTCACCTTGCTAAAGGAAATCTTGAACATCTTTAAACTAAATTTTCAAAAGAGGAGTTTTCTATATGTCCCATGCAGTCTTCGTTAATGTCACATCTAGAATTTTATTTTCACCAAAAAAATAAAAACTCTCTAAGTGCTCTTATTATATGAAGTATGAAATGGCGGGAAAAGCACTTGGCTGGAGCTGGAGACTCAAATTCTAGGCTCTGGTTCTGTCACTAACTGTGTGTGACATTGGGCAAGTCTCTGGCTAGTGTTGAGCCTCAATTTCCTCACTTATAAAGTGAGAGCGATGACCCCAGCCTCTAGGATTGTTTTGAGGCTTATGTGAAAGTTCTTTAAAAAGTGAAATACACATACACGTTAAAAGTGTTTCAGAAACATGTTCCCCTATTGAAATGATTTTGTGGCACTGTCCTTTACCAAAGCAACATCCCAGTGGCCTTCACTAACTTTGTTTCTTTTCAGATGGAGTTACACATGTATGAGAACACTTTGCTCAATAAAGATGCAAGTTTGCAGAAGGTTGGTCTGTCCCTTCCCTGAAGTCCTGTGGGATTGGCTAGCTCTCTCCAAATCAGAAAGGAGATGATCATTTGTGTACCTTCACTCCTATTAAAATATCTGATTATAATATTCTATTAAGAATATTAGATTTCCTTTATAAACTTCTCAAAAAATATTCTGTTGAATAAAGAATACTGACTTACCCATCTAGTATAAGTTTCATCATATCCTCTCTAAATTCTGGTGGTGTTCATTAATCTGCACAACCAATATTGGTGTGCCAATTTATCAGTCAATGATGCAGTCAATCAGGCTAGATACAATGATGCAGTTTTAATTCGTAACAACACAAATGTGTGTGCAGTCATTCGTTTGGGGGAAGAAAAAAATATCCCTAAGTTATTTTCTTCCTGGTTTCATTGATTGATCAGATAGATAGATGATAAATAGATATTCTCTTTATCCTTGTATCCTGTGATCATCGCCTATCTGGTAACAAGGAGCAGAGATTCTGGTTATGGTGACATACGAAGGACGAAGGACACAGCCCTAAGTTAGTAAACTTCCACATTTCAAGATAAGGAGGCAAAGAAAGAGCAATATTTATATTCCTTTCCATTCATGTTTTGACATTTCAAAGAAGTCATTGATGGCTTGTAGACATTGACCCAGATACTGACATACAGTGACATTGTGGTAGTAGTGGTGGCTCACTTCCTCCATACCTCTGATCTTTCCACTACTTTGCACTCCTCCCAGGTATTCATAGGCATTGCTGGGGCAATTTGCACATTCCAGGCACCATGCTAATCATGGGATATAACTGTAGGCCAGACACTGCCTGTCCTCTCTGGTGTTCTAGTATAATACTGTGATTTTAACAGAGATATGTGAGTTGAATAAAATTGGATTCCTTAATAATTCATTAGTCCTTCTCAGTTAAAGACTGATTTTTTTCTTAAATGTATAATGATAACAAATATAATTTTGACTTGGACTTAAGATATACCTTTCAGGGTTTGGTTCAATTGGACTACCAGTGATGGCGAAACTTTTGAGCTTGACGTGTCAGCATTTTGAAAAACCCTAACTTAACTCTGGTGCTGTGTCATATATAGAAATTTTTTGATATTTGCAACCATAGTAAAACAAAGACATATTTTTGATATTTATTTTATATATTTAAATGCCATTTAACAAAGAAAAATCAACCAAAAAAATGAGTTTGCGTGTCACCTCTGACACGCGTGTCATAGGTTCGCCATCACTGGACTAGGCAGACACAGAGCATACTATCACCAGTTAGATACAGCTGCCTCACTACCCCATACTTTTTGTGTGGCTTTAATCACAAACACAGATTGGTTCAGTTTTTAAATAATATGATTGATAGAAGAGCTCATATCATTGGGCATTATAATTTTTTGTGGCTCAGATTGATAATTATTCTAATAAACATGATTTGGTGGACTCATGCATTTATTAGCTATTAATTTTCTCTTCTACTTTTCAGAAGGATTTAAGTATAGAAGAACTTAAGTCAACCATCATAGAATATGGAAGCATTATAGAGGTATGCCATAATAATCTCAGAACTTGCAAGGTGGGTTGTTAAATGAAAGGTAATTCCCCCATTGGAGGGGCATGTACAGCCTAATGTTGTATGTGATTCCAGAATTTACGAGGGGAAAAAACCAAACTGGCTCATGAGTTACAGCACTTGCAACAGGAACTCATCATGTAAGTAGTACACAGCAACCCCCATGCCTTCTCTCACGTGCCTCTACCCTACCTCATTGGCCTACTGAGCTAGCTGCAGTTCTTGAATGTGCCACATTCTTTTCCTCTACTTTTGTAAGTGCTCTTTTCTCTGCTTTTTTTCCAACAGAACTCCTTCACAAGTTTCTCATGACCTTCCCTTGGTTTTCTCTTAGCTTGAGATCAAAGTAATCCTTTTGAGTGCATGTTTTTATCTCTTGTCTAACATACATCACCTTATATTATAAACATTTGTTGTCAAATATGTGTAATCTAGTCCAGGAGTCCGCAGACAACAAGAGTAAAGCTAGTGGTGTGAGTGCACACACTTACATCATGAGAGTTACCGATGAGGTAAGTGCATTACCCCAACAAGGGCCAGAGGGGGCTGCTCTGCTTAGCTCTAGCTAATTGTTGCATCAAAATATATGCACCAGCCCTAACCGGTTTGGCTCAGTGGATAGAGCATCAGCCTGTGGACTGAAAGGTTCCAGGTTTGATTCTGGTCAAGGGCATGTACCTTGGTTGCAGGCACATCCCCAGAAGAAGGTGTGCAGGAGGCAGCTGATCGATGTTTCTAACTCTCTATTCCTCTCCCTTCCTCTCTGTAAAAAATCAATAAAATATATATTTTTAAAAAAGATGTCCTGACCGGTTTGGCTTGGTGGATAGAGCATCGACCTGCGGACTGAAGGGTCCCAGGTTCGATTCCAGTCAAGGGCATGTACGTTGGTTGCGGGCACATCCCCAGTAGGGGGTGTGCAGGAGGCAGCTGATCAATGTATCTCATCAATGTTTCTAAACTCTCTATCCTTCTCCCTTCTTCTCTGTAAAAAATCAATAAAATATTAAAAAAATAATAATATACCCACCTAGTGTGGCCACATCTTTCATTTTTTTAAGAAAAGCCAGAAATCTAGGTTTTTCGTGAAATCTGCTAATTTTTAAAATATGTATTTTTATTGATTTTAGAGAGAGAGGAAGGGAGAGGGAGAGAAAGAAACATCAATGAAAGAAACATCCACATCAGTTGGCTGCTTCCTGCATGTCCCCCACTGGGGATCGAGCCCACAACCAGAGCATGTGCCCTGACTGGGAGTTAAACTGCAACCTCCTGGTTTATGGATCAGTGCTCAACCACTGAGCCATACCAGCGAGGCTCTAATTTTTAACTATTGGTTTCAATTCATAAAAATAAATTAATAAAAATTAAAAATGTTTTAAAAAGTGTGGCCTACTTGTTTGCAACCACCTAGCATCACTAATCTGGGCAGAGACTCTCCTGGTCTCTGTATTCCTAAGTACCTTATGCAATCCTAAGTACATGTGGAGGCTTACTGGCTGTTTGGTCATAAATAAGCCCTAATCTGCTGACTCAAAACATAGTGTTAGGGCCCTGGTAGGTGTAGCTCAGTTGGTCCCATGCACCAAAAGGTGGCCTGTTTGATTCCCAGTCAGGGCACATGCCTAGGTTGCAGATTCAGTTCCCAATCAGGGTACATGTGGGAGGCAGCCGATAGATTTCTTTCTTTCTTTCTTTCTCTCTCTCTCTCTCTCTCTCTCTCTCTCTCTCTCTCTCTCTCTCAAATAAATAAAAGCATACAAAAAAAATGTTGGAGTCAAACCTAACCAGATGGGATTATTATTCTTGGTTTTTTGTTTTTTTGTTTTTCAAGGAATGGGATCCAATTGAATGTTAGTGAAGAACATAAGAGTATCGTCTCCAAAGGAGAAAAGTCTTTACGCTGTGAACTCATTCTTGCTCAGTCTGCAGAGGTAGGTAACTATCATCAATGGAAAGCTTTAAAAAACAATCACCACATGGGATAACTTACCATGAAGTGAAGGTCCATAGCTTGCAGAAAAGCACCTGTGACATTTTGAGGCAAATCTGCTGACTGTTTTTGGAATCCAAGTCTAAGGTCTCCGCCTGGGAGAACGGACCTGTTTTAAGTTATGGCTGAAAACTGTCAAGCATGGGGTTGTGGAACTGTGCATTCAGTGAACCTGGATTTCAGAAATCTTTATATTCTTGTCTTTCTCAGGACAAACTAAATACATGTTCCCCAGCCTGGGGTCTTAAAGGTGCAGTAGAGATCCATGAGCGACTTTCCAGTGTTTCCCCTTCCCTCACAGTGTGTCTGCCATACACAGAGTTCTCAGAAACAGCACGCAGCTTCTTTGCTTTAGGATGTCATTGAACCAAGCCAATTTATTGACAGTGGTGATTACATTCTGAACAGAAATTAGCATTTTATATGTTTTTGGCTAATTTTTATTTATTTTAAAGTATAAATAAAGTTTTTTTAAAGTACAAATAAAGTTTTATTTTAAAGTTTATTGTTAGTAGTATTACAGCTATCTCCCATTTTCCCCCTACCCTGTTACCCCCCACCTCCTGGCTAATTTTTTGTTTGTTTTTTTTGTTAATCCTCCACCGTGGATATTTTTCCATTGATTTTTAGGGAGAGTGGAAGAGAGAGGGAAAGACAGAGAGAGAAACATTGATGTGAGAGAAACACATCAATTGGTTGTCTCCTACACGAGCCCTGACCAGGGCCCAGGCTGGGAAGGAGCCTGCAACCAAGGTATGTGCTCTTGACTGGAATCGAACCTGAGACCCTTTGGCCCGCAAGCTGACGCTCTATCCACTGAGACAATACGGATATGGCCTGACTAATTTTTAAATAGCAAAATGAATTATTACTTTTTAAAAAATCTCCATTTGTTAGGTAGACCCAATTCTTTACAGCGTGGTAGGGAACAATCAAAAGCCTTTTGGGGAATTAAATGTTGGGACTCCCTCTCCCCGCATTGCTATATTTCCACTCTTTTATACTTCCCAGTTTTGTGTTTATTATGTTAGGAAATGCTTTATTATCAAATTGCTTTCTTTTCACCACTTTGATGGTCTCTCCATGTCTGTGGACAATGGATATGTCAGAATGTCCTCCTGTTGACAGCTGTGCTATGACCTTGAAAGGGGTGGAAGAATGTCTTTGGGGCAAACGCTGTTTGAATTTCTTCTGCCAAGGATGCAGGGGCAACATATGCTGCCTTCATCTGACATGCTCTCAGGCAGCCTTGGACATTCTGCCGAGGGCTGTGCTTTCCTGACATTGTTTCAAATACTCATCATTTTACTGCGGGTTTGAAACCAAGCCAAACTGCCAGACTGAGTGAAATGATGGCAAACCTGCCCCAGGAGTGTGTTTCATCCTCAGTCCTCTGAGATGGTGACAGTGTCAGGATGTCAGCTTGTGAAGTTCTACACTTCTCAGCCGGGGTTCAACAGCTGGCGAAGTCCTGACTCTGAGGTATACCCCACAGAAGGATGAAGAAGTTTGCTTTTAATTAGAATCTGGAAATAAGAGCCCTCTGACCTTTTCCCAACAAGAAGGAAGTTAAATGTACTGTTGTCATATATCAACCATATGATAAGAGACAGAGACTTTGAGAGAAGTATAAGGAATAGTCTTTGTGGGACATTATCTTCTGTACATGGAAGGGAAACTGAATAAATCAATCTGTTTTTAGTAGGATTTATTGAACACCCCATCCCAACATTTTTTTTCCTGTGAATTTCTTTAAGTTCCCTTATTTTTGTAAAATTAGAGCCATAGCAGTTTATATCACCACGTGTAAATGTTATCCATGGGATAAATGGAACTTTCTTAAGAACCAAATAAATGGTAAGTTAAGGTCATACTAAAGAGAAAATGTAAAAATGTTTTTTAGGTCGAAACTGGTTTGGCTCAGTGGATAGAGCGTCGGCCTGTGGACTGAAAGGTCCCAGGTTCGATTCCGGTCAAGGGCATGTACCTGGGTTGCGGGCACATCCCCGGTGGGAGATGTGCAGGAGGTAGCTGATCGATGTTTCTCTCTCATCGATGTTTCTAACTCTCTATCTCTCTCCCTTCCTCTCTGTAAAAAATCAATAAAATATATTTTTAAAAAAATGTTTTTTAGGGGGACATAGAAGGATTCCATAAGACTATTTAGAATGGGGACACTTACATTGAGCCCTGGGCATTATTTTTATAAAATAAAAATGAATGTTCATTATTAAAATGATAAGAGTCATGAACATTTTGGTAATTGTCCCAGAACACTGAAACTGAGCAGCAGTGCAGTTTAATCAGCTTGTCATCTCTGGACACAATGATGGACCAAGAACTGCTGCTGTCACTGAGAGAACTTGAGCAGAAGGGAGTGGGATTCACAGCTACTCTCCAGAAGCTGGTATTACATAGCACACGCCTATCATGGGGTTTCACTGACTGGGAATGTCTGCAGACAACTGACCTGCAACCTGTTTGCTGAGCACAAGCATATGTGTGTGTTGTTAAGCCCCCAAATCATCCTACTATGAAAGAGAAAATTTTTCTCAAAATTCCTGAAGTTGATCTTCTAGTTCTGAGTCAATCAGGACTAACTGACCATTGGATATGGATTGCTTGAGCATAGTTTTCCTACAGGTTAATCTTTATTATCAAAGGGCTGAAGACATGGTATCTATTGAGCAATTTCCTTCTAGCTAATGACTAGCACCTCTTTCTTCATTTTGATATGTGACTGGAAACTCTAGATGGTCAGAGAAAGCAGAGAATCTTCATGTTGATATTTCCAGTCCCTTCCACAGTGCCTAGCGTGTATGGTAGGTAGTATTTAGTTTGACAAATGAAAAAATCTGAAAAAATGCTTGTTTCCTTCTCTTTGAGAGGAAGATAAAAATGGATAGGTTTTGCTGGAAAATGATTCTATCTCTGCACATTCAGCATAAATAGAGAGCCTGATGAGAGGTAGCATCTACCCATGGCAACGTCCTGGGGTAAAGGCAAGTCATTGAGCAGTGTTAGTTGAGAAGGAACTTTTTCTGAGTTACCTCTATAATAGAACTTTGGTCTACATTAGTTCTTATGTAATAGTATACATCTTCTCCCTAAATTCCTAGTTGAAGATGTGAAACTCTTTTTCAGCATGAAGACAGTTCTGAAGTGGAAGCCCTCATTGACAGTCCTCTCCAGTGGGTAACTAGTCCAGACATTACTGTGAAAGAAAAGTGGGAGAACATGCTTACTGTAAGTGTTCTGTATTTTGTGATTTTCCTGATTTCCCTTCTACCTTTGAAACCCAGGTAATACTCATTATGTACAGTACCATATCAGGCATTATTGAAGTCTTCTGCTATCTCAGTCTGATGCTCTGTGTAGAGTGTCTGTGGTGGATGTATGAATGTGCATATGAGGGTGAGGATGAGCATGACGGTTAGGATAAAGTCTTTGAGGGTGAGGGTGAGGAAAAGGTGAGAGTGAGTGAGTGAGTTTGAAGATATGTGTTATATGTTGGAGAAACAAAGATTAAATAAGATGACTTAATGAAAGAGTTTATTTTATTTGAATTCTTGTGAGAATTGACTAGTCCAAGCCACTTAACATTGGCTTATTACAATTCTCTGACTTTGGTAGGATGGTTAGCGTGCAAAAGAATCTTATTCCTGAGATTCTGACAGTTTTGTTATTCCCAATATTTGTAGAACATTGGAAAACCATGAGCTTCTTAGGTAGCCATTTCCAGTTTTGTTACGAAAGAACCATATAAATCTCCTTAATTTATCTATCACTTATTATCTCTACTTCTTGATTGCCAGACAACTATTAATGTTCATCAGCCCCTAAATTACACTAAAGCAAGAAGGAAACTCTGGAATGTTAATTTCAACCCCTTTGCCAAACCTTTTTTTAAAAAGTTGCTCTTGAAAATGCTAATCAACAGATACTGATTTTATCGCACTTCCTTGTCCCATGCTATTCTAAAGCAATTGTGATGATTGGTGAAATGGTCAGGAACCCACAATCTTAAGAAAGACAAATGAAATTCAATTTCATGCACTTGATAAGTACCCAATATCTACTTGTTAAGTTGAGATAATCAACCTAAAGGATAATCAGTCTTTGGGCAATTAAGAGTTAGTATGTGTTCAATTAGAATTTTAGGGTCCAATAACAGGGAGTACTATTGAAAGGAGAATGGCCACAGCATTTCATATTGCCTCTGTCATGTTTATATTTAACACTGGAATAGTGGAGTTTGTTTTGTGATTTTCCTTGTAGGAATTCAAATATACCATGGAAGAGAAACTAAATTTTTGCGTATTAATGCTGAAGAGCTTGGGAAACCACAAAGAATCTCTTGATAAAGAGTTTGTCAAGTTGATAGAGATTTTGAAGAGATTCGGGCTGGAATATTTTTATTTCGGAAAAGAATATCTTTCCAGGTGACGATCATTTATGTATAAGAAACCCATGCTTTCTGAACTTGACACCATTGTGATTGTGCCATAGCCTTCAGTTCATTTTTTCCCAAGTTCTATGTATTGATTTCAGATGATACTTTTTCAGGGAAGACATTTTGTCTGACAGTCTCAAATTGTGAAATATTGTAAACTTGACTAATTTATTCAAAATTGCAAATAGTGAACTTTAAAATCTGTGGAAAACCAGTATCAGAGTTATTTTCTCTAGAGAAGGAATTTGGAATTACAGAATATAGAATTCTTTTAACCATAGGGGCCTTAGAGACCATTTAGTAAAACCTCATCATTTTACACAAGACCGAGGCATAAGGATGTAAAGTGAATTGATCAAGATCTGAGAGTTAATGGAAAACCCACAGGTAGATCTATTAATGGAAGAACCTGATGCTGGGTCTGTTGACTCCTATCCCATTGGGCTTCGTGTTCCACCTTAGGATACAATGCATCACATTGGACACTAGGAAATAAATCTCAAGTGAAAAGTGTCTGGGGAATAAAGGGCTCTAAATATAAAATAATTTACCAACTAACTCTTTCTCTCACCTTAATTCTTATGGTTATGGGGGAATTCTTGAAATTTGTAGTTTGTAAAGCACATATACTAAACACAAGGGCAGTGAGTATATCTTTTGTTAACCTCTGTTTCTATAGCTGCTAGTACCATACTAAGTGTTCCCTTAAGAAGTGCTTTTCAAAGGAATGAATGAACATGGGTATATACTGAATTTTAATAAGGTTAAAAAAATGTCATTAGAGGCCAAGGTTGCTTTAAAAAATAGCCAGGAGAAAAACTATTTTCTTCCCCCTAAGTAAGGAAACTAGATGCCAGAGATAATACCAGAAGGAACTCTCAAGAAAATAATCTTCTGCTTTTCCTAAGAAGCAGCGAGCCGAGACTTCCCCTTAGTGGTAAAGCTGTGGGTAAAGGAGATATGCAGCTTCCTTACCCAGATACCGTCTCCACAAAAGGGAGCATTGAAATTCTTCTGTTTAGCAACAAAGAACTATTTTGAGAGAGGCCTCTACTACTAGAGTCATCTCTGAATACATGAATCTTCTGTATTATCTACTAGACACACAAGAAGCCCAGTTAAATAATAGTAGGTGCAATTCGTTGGAAGCTTACTGTGTTGGATGTAGTGCTAAGAATTTGACGTGTATTTATCTCCAGAGTGGTTCGATAATGTGCCAAGGTCATCCAGGTAGGATTAAGTGACAACTGGGATCAGATCTAGATATGTCCAGCTTCAAAACGCATGTTCTTGCAACTATTAATCCCCCACTATCTACTTGCTAAAATCTGATATAATGTTCATTAAAAATATTCTGGAAACCTAGCAGTGGGAAAAATACTAGTTATAAATGTAAGAAAAGTTTAGCCCCTGACTTCTAGACATAATTTAAAATAGACAAAATCATATCGACACTATACACCAAATGACTTGGCTATGGGTTTTAACTATGCATGAGGAAATGAGTGGAGAAATTTGTGAGACTAAGAGTATTCTCTTTAGATGAGGTAGGAAATATCTTTTAAAGGCAACTTTCAGAGGCTATAAACTTATGAGGAGAAGGCTTCCATTCTGACATAAGATAACTAGGCTCCAGAGCTGAGGAATGGAAAAGAATTGAGAGTCAAGCCCGGCTAGTGTGGCTCAGTGGTTGAGTGTCAGCCTGTGAACTGGGAGGTCATGGTGCGATTCCCAGTCAGAGCACATACCCAACAGTCAAGGTGAGGTAGTGAAAAAAAAAAGTACCTCAGAAGGCTTGGTTTGAAAGGCATGTCATCATTGGACAACATCAAAGTGTCAGCTCTTTGCCTGACTCCATTGCCCTGTCCCTCTTGCATAGGTACTAGGGAACTATAGGAAACGAGACAGAAATCTCTGCCTCCATGAAACTAACATCTATTGAGGGACACCGATGATAAACATATAATTATATACTGTAATGCCAGATTGATATGAAGTAAATTAAAGCAGGATACGAAGACCAAGAATGACAGGGTCAGGAGAAACTAATTTTAGAAAAATGGCCAGGAAAACCCTGTCTGAGGAGTGATCAATTGAGTGGATAGCTGAGTGAAATGAGAGAGTGAGCTATGTAATGATCTCACAGAGTTTGAGGCAGAGGAACTAACTAGTGCAAAGGCCTTGTGGTTGTAATGAGATTGGTATGTTTGAGCATCGGTGAGAGGCCAGCATGACTGGGGCGGAGTGAGTTCTGAGCAGCGGTGGAGATGAGGCCAGAGAGACCGTCAGGGGTCGGGTCCACAGCCTTTCAGTTCACATTTAGGAGTGGGGATTTTATTCTGAGTGGATGGGAAGCCATCATAGGGTTATAAGCAGAAAAGTTTTGAAAGATTATTCTGGCTGCTGGGTAGAAAATTATCTATAGAGGGCAAGGTTTAAAGCAGTGGACTAGTGAGACGAGCTTTTTCAATAATAGATTGCCAGTTAGAGATCCTGAAATCAATTTACTGGATTATGACCCATTAAAAAATATATATATGAAATGTCAGAGTGTATTACATATAGTAGGAGTAAGTAATGTTTCATAACATTTTTGTTTCAGCTGTGACTGTGTGTGTGTACGTGTAATTGCTTGAAATATAAACTATATTTACTGGGTCATGGTAAAAAAGCAAGACAAAAACATTGAGTTAAGAACTATTGCAGTAGTCCAGGTGAGAGATGTAACATGAGCCCGGGTGATTGCTGTAAAAGTGGTAAGAAATGGTTGGATTCAAACTATGTTTTGAGGATGGATCATATCTGACATGCTAGTGAATTAGTTGTGGGAAAGCAAGAAAGAGAAGAGGCACCCTTGACTTAGAGGTTTGTGGTCTGAAACTGAAATCTATTTTGGATGCCAAAGTCTGGGGGAGACTCAGACTTGGCAGGAGTAGTAATCAAGATGTAGCGTTAACATGTTAGCAAGGAGAGTTGCTGAATTTAAAAATACACACTGAAAGCTAATATTTACCTCTTACTGTGATAATAATCTCAATAAAAGAAAAATCTTCAGTGGTTCAACAGCTGTTAAATTTTTTTAATGCTATAAACAATTCTTTTTTTAATGTTTTTACTGATTTTAGGGGAGAGAGGAAGGAAGAGGGATAAAAAGCTAGAAACATCAGTGATGAGAGACACCATTGATTGGCTGCCTCCTGCACTCCCCCTACTGGGGACCAAGCCTGCAACCCGCGCATGTGCCCTGACTGGGAATAGAACCAGTGACCTATTGGTTCATGGGTCGATGCTCAACCACTGAGCCATAATGACCGGCTGTTAAATGTTTTTAACAGATGGTTCTATCAAATTTTTAAAAGCTATTTCTAAGATTGTTATGACTTATAAAGTACATAAAATGTATTATCTTATATATGCATACACATACAAGTTATTAAAAATTTAATATTATTAAGTATGTATTTCTATTGGTCCTCAGAGTCATTTTGCTTTCATTCAGATGATAGTGAACTCTTGAGAGCTTAGATCATTTCTCAAAGAACTAGAAAAAAAAACACAAAGTTTAAATTTAGCACAAGGAAGGAAATAATAAAAATTAGAACAGAAGTAAACAAAATAGGAAAAAAATCTTAAAAAATCAATAAAATTAATAGTTGGTTTTTGAAAAAAAAGATAAACAAAATTAACAAATATTTAGCTAGACTTAGAAAAAGAGAACACTCCAATAAGTAAAATCTAAAATGGAAGAGGAGACATTACAACTGATGCCATAGTAGGGGAAACTATCATAAAAGACTACTATGAACAATCATACACCAACAAATTGGATAACCTTGAAGAAATAAATAAGTTCCTAGAAACATACAACTTAACCAAGACTGAATCAAGAAGAAACAGAATATCTGAACAGACCAATAACTAGTAAAGTGGCTAAAACAATATTCAGAAACCTCCCAACAAAGAAAAGCCCAGGACCAGGTGTCTTCACTGGTGAATCTATTAAACATTTAAAGAAGATTAACGCAAACTTTTGAAGCTCTTTCAAAAAATTGAAGAGGAGGGACAACTTACCGATTTATTTTATGAGGCCAGTATTATCCTGACACCAAAAACACTGTACACACACACACATACACACACACACACACACACACACCACTACAGACCAATATCCCTGATGAATATACATGTAAAAATCCTCAACAAAATACTGGCAAACCAATTTCAACAGCACATTAAAAAGATGATTATATATCACGATCAAGTGAAATTTATCCCTTTGATGCAAGAATGACTCAACATACACAAATAAATTAATGTGATACAGCACATTAACAGAATGAAGAATAAATATCACAAGAGCACCTAAATTGATTAAAAAAAAACACCACTTAACAAGATTCAACACTCTTTCATAATAAAACTACATATTCAAAAAACTAGAAATAGAAGGAAACTACCTCAACATTATAAAGGCTATCTATGAAAAACCCACAGCTAACATCATACTCAATGATGAAAAACCGAAAGCTTTTCCTCTAAGTTCAGATATAAGGCAGGCAGGCAGGCATGCCCACTCTCACCTCTTCCATGCAACATGTTACTAGAGCAACTAGACAAGACAAAGGCATCCACATTGGAAAGGAAGAAGTAAAGCCATCTCTGTTTGAAGATAACATGGTTTTACATATAGAAAACCCAAAAGACTCCAAAAAAACTGTTAAAACTAATAAACAAATTTAATTTTATATCATACAAAATGAACATACAAAAATCAGTTACATTTCTATAAAACTATTAATAAAATAGCTGAAAAGAAACCTGAAAAAACAATCCCATTTAATATAGCATCTAAATAAATAAAATACTTAGGAATAAACTTAACAAATGAGGTAAAGACTTGTATACTGAAAACTACAAAACATTGCTGAAAGAAATCAAAATGTAAATAAATGGAAATACATCATATGTTCATGGATTGGAAGACTTAATAATGTTAAAATATTCATACTATCCAAAGCAACCTACATATTTAATGTAATCCCTATCAAAATCCTAATGGCATTTTAAAACATATATATTTTATTGATTTTTTTTTAACAGAGAGGGAGGGAGCAGTAGAGGGATAGAGAGTTAGAAATATCAATGAGAGCCCACAACCAAGGTACATGCCCTTGACTGGAATCAAACCCGAGACCCTTCAGTCCATCGGCCAACACTCTATCCACTGAGCCAAACCAGTTAGGGCAATCCTAATGGCATTTTTTACAGTAATAGAGGAAAACAATCCTAATGTTCATATGGAACCACAAAGCACCTGAAATAGTCAAAACAATCTTGAGAAAAAACAAATCTGAAAGTATCACACTTCCTGGTTTCAAAATATATCATAAAACTACAGTAATCCAAACAGTATGGTACTGGTCTAAAGACAGGCATAGAGACCAAGAGAAGATAATGAAGCAATCCATGCTTATTTGGTCACCTGATCTCTGACTAGTGTGCCAAGTATACACAATGAAAAACAATAGTCTTTTCAACAAATGGTGTTGGCAAAATTGGATATCCACATGCTAAAGAATGAATTTGATCCCTTATTATATACCATCTATAAAAATCAACTCAAAATGGAGTGAAGACTTAAACATAAAGCCTAAAACTGTAAAACTCCTAGAAGAAAATCTTGGGCGGGGGGAAGCTTCATGACATTGTTCTTGGCAATGATTTCTTGGATAGGACACCAAAAAGCACAGGCAACAACAGAAAAAAATAGACAAGTCGATCTATATCAGACTAAAAAAGCTTCTTCACAGCAAAGGAATTCACAGAGTGAAAAGGTAACCTATGGAATGAGAGGAAATATTCCAAACCATATATCTGATAAGGGGTTAATATTCAAAATACATGAGGAACTTCTACAATTCAATAACAAACAAACAAAAACACCAAATAGCCGAGTTTGAAAATTGGCAGAGGACCTGAATAGACTTTCTTCAAAGAGGACATAGCCGATAGACATATGAAAAGGTGCTCAATGTCACTAATCATTTGAGAGATACAAGTTAAAACCACAATGAGATATCACCTCACATCTGTCAGATTGGCAATCATCAATAAATCAACAAAGAACAGGTGCTGGAGAGAATGTGGAGAAAAGGGGACCCTTGTGCACTATTGGTGGGATTGTAAATTAGTGTAGCCACTATAGGAAATACTATGGAGATTCCTCAAAAAATTAAAAGGGGTGCTGCCTTATGATCCAGCAATTCCACTTCTGGGTATTTATTAAAAACAAAAATACATGCACAAAAAACACACGAATTCAAAAAGATATATTTACCCCTATGTTCATTGCAGCATTACTAGTATTAGCTAAGATATGGAAGGAACATGGATGTCAATCAATAGATGAATGGATAAAGAAGAGGTGATATATATATATATATATATATATATATATATATATATATATAATATTTGAATATACATAGTAATATTATTTTATATATGAATATCCTTGCCATTATTGACAATGTGGATGGATTTACAGGGTATTATGCTAAGTTAAATAAGTCAAAGAAAGACAAATATTATATGATTTCACTTATAAGTGGAATCTATAAAAACAAAACAAGAAATGAATAAAACAAAATACAAACAGAACCATAGATATGGAGAATAAGCTGATCATTGCCAAAATGGGGGCTGGGGGATGGGAATAAAAAAATGTGTAGTTGGGGGAAAAAATTATCAGAGTACTTAAATAGCCATTTTTCAAAAAAACAAAAACAAAAAAGATACACAATTGGTCAACAGGTATATGAAAAAAATGCTCAAAATCTCCGATCATCAGGGAGATGCAAATAAAAACCACAATGAGTCATTTACAACGATGAATGAATCACACCTGTTAGGAAGACTGCCATTAAAAAAAATCCAAAAAAATACCAAGTGTTGACAAGGATGTAGAGAAATTGAAACTCTGTATACTGTTCATGGGAATATAAAATGGTGCGACTGCTACGGAAAACAGTATAGAGGTTCCTCAAAAAATTTAAATAGAACTACCATATGATCTAACAATCACACTTCTGGGTATATATCCAAAAACAGTCAAAGCAGAATCTCGAAGAGATACTTGCACACTCTTGTTCATTGCGGCATTATCCAGAATAAGATGTGAAAACAGCCTAAATGTTCATCAGTGGATGAATGAATGAAGTAATGCAGTATAGAAATAATATTCAACCTTAAAAAAGAAGGACATTTTGCCACATGCGACAACATGGATGAATCTTGAGGACCTTTTGCCAAGTGAAATAAATCAGTTACACAAGGACAAACTGCATGATTACACTTAAATGAGGTGTTAAAAATTATCAAACCAGCCCTGACTGGTTTGGCTCAGTGGATAGAGCGTCGGCCTGCGGACTCAAGGGTCCCAGGTTCGATTCCAGTCAAAGGCATGTACCTTGGTTGCGGGCACATCCCCAGTAGGGGGTGTGCAGGAGGCAGCTGATCGATGTTTCTCTCTCATCGATGTTTCTAACTCTCTATCCCACTCCCTTCCTCTCTGTAATAAATCAATAAAATATAAAAAAAATTATCAAACCAATAGAAGCAGAGAGTAGAATGGTGGTTTCCAGGGGTTAGGGGATGAAGAAATGGGAGTTGCAATTCTTCAATGGGTATAGTTTTAGTTACATAGGATGAGAAAGTTGTAGGGATCTGCTGTATAACATTGTGCATATAGTTTAACTCTGTGTTATATATTTAAAACTGTGTTAGGAGGGTAAATCTCATGTTAAATGTTCTCACCATGATTTAAGAAAAGAAAACTGACTATAAGCTATTATACAATCTTAGTAGAATATGTGTTCAGATGGTTTTAATTTGTTTAGGGTTTTGTTTGCTGGTTTACTATAATGGTAAAGCATTCTTACCCATCCTTGTCTTTTGTGTGGTCCTTTTTGTAATCAGGGCAGGATTTATGACAACGCACAATGGGATTCTGTGTGTTAACATTTGAAGAGGCACACAGACGGCCTAAACTTGACAATGTTTCCCTCCCTGCTTTGAAACTCCCAAAGTTTGTCATCCCTTTGAGCTAAGATCCTTATTCAGGTGAAGTTGTTTCCAGATAGTCACTGATATATTGATACATAGCATACTTCAAATAATCTCCTCTGTTATCAGAGTAGGTGCATTTTGACGTATTTTGAGAATTAAGGTCAGATCCGAAAGAGAGGTGACATAGCAACACTAAGAGATTGGGGTGAGGAAGAAAGGGAGGGGAAGGTCTTCAGAAAGAAAAGACTGCAGGGGAAATACTAACAGCTGGCTTTCATGTGAGCTTGGGAGTGCCCTTCCTGTCCTCATGGCACACATTTCTACCATGATTGGCAACTTTTAAGGAGAAAGGCTACGGTCATGAAATAAAGTTTCTATTTCTTCTCTTTTTCCTCCCTCACTCATTCTTTTTTTTTGTTTCCTGCAAAAGCTAGCTGTGCTGTGTCAATATTGCACCTGCTACTCTAACCTCCTTGTAGCTCCATCCTCTAAGCCAGCGGTTCTCAACCTGTGGGTCGCGACCCCTTTGGCGGTCGAACGACCCTTTCACAGGGGTCGCCTAAGACCATCCTGCATATCAGATATTTACATTACGATTCATAACAGTAGCAACATTACAGTTATGAAGTAGCAACGAAAATAATTTTATGGTTGGGTCACAACATGAGGAACTGTATTTAAAGGGCCAGAAGGTTGAGAACCACTGCAAGCAGTTGGCCACCGATGCAAAGTGCTATGAATGCAGCCTGTGGGGAACTGAATATTCTGCTGTAAAATAGGAAACTACACGTCCTGATCTGTAAAGTGAGGACATCAGGCTAAGTGATCAAGACGATGGCTTTAATTTAAATTCTATATTGGAGAAGCACTTGTATGAAGTAAACACTTTCACTCTTTCCTCTGATCTCTGAGGAAATGTATGAAGTCTGAATTTGTCACAACTTCCCAGGGGTGACTCTTAGTTGAAATGTCACTGACAGCTTGTGGTTTGGACTTTTTTTTTTTTTTTAACTCCAGGCAGAAACAACTAGAAGCCATTAAACAACTGCAAGAAGATGCTGTCAACCAGGAAGCCATCCTCAGGAAGAAGGTCCAAGAAGCCAGTCAACGGCTAGAGGATGCAGAGGAGCAGGTAGGGCGGCCTTTGACTATATTCTATTTAGGGGAAGCCTCCTCAGATGTCCTTAAAACCATGAGATAAAAATGGAGAAGGAACAACAACAGAAAGAAAGAAAGAAAGAAAAAAAAACCCAAAGAGGAACTGTGAAGTTCAGTCCCTGGAGACCAGCAGTGTGCGGAGGAAGTAAAGGGGGCGTTGTAAAGAGGCGGTGTCAACAGTCTGCTGCGAAAGGAGGCAGCTCTGCAGAAAGAGGCAACTTGACATATCAGGACTGTTAAGGCTGTGGATAGAGCTGGGGCACACGAAGCCCATGCAAGCACAGAATTGCAGAAGTTCAGTGGAGGCTTATCACTTCCCTGAGAACAAAAGCACATTTGCAGTTTCCTGTGCATAAGAGTGTGCGCTCAATGGCTTTCTTTCCGGGACACACTGTGAAAATCCAGTATTAACTGTATGTCTCCAGGTTGAGGACCGAGAGGGCACAGCCCACTCTGCCAGGGAAAAGGCGAAGTCGTTGCTGCATCAATCAGAGGAAGCACTTTCAGAACAACTGAGTCTCCAGGCTATAAATACCGAGTTAGTGAACACTTGCCAGGCCCTCGAGCAGAAGACAAGGAAACTGAAAAGTGAGTAGCAGATATTTGTTACGGCCCGGTTTCGTCCCCTCTGAGGTGGGGTGAAAGGACTGCAGCCATTTGTAGAGATTACAGCTGCTGTATTAGTGAGACAGTTATGACAATGAAATGGTTCCAGAAGGCATACTGTGGGCGTTCAGAGGCATTTGCCTAGTAGCTAGGTAGATTGCTTTAACCACTGGCTTTCCTTTCGGTTGCTAAACTTGTCTGAGACTGTTAATGCTTTAAAAATTAAATAAAACGTCTCAATATCTGAAACAGTAAACAAGGGGGAAAAATCTTGTTCATCTGGGCTATTTGAGCCTGCAAATTGTTTGTGGATTCTGCCCTGATTTTATTAGCTAGTTTGGACCCATCTTGTGGTAGAAAAGACCCTTCCTCCCTGTTTTCTTTTAATCGGTTATTTTAGGGTTGGACAAAATGCTTATGAATTTAATGTGTGTCAAAATATTAAATATGTGTTCTTTACATATATATTTTTGCTTTACAAGTTAGAATTTTTTTTTTCGTTTTTCTACATTACCTAAAAGTGGGTAAGTGTTTACTAAGGTTTAGGTGAGAAGACAACTGTCAAATTACAGATGTCAGATTATGTATAAGTTTATTTTATTCTAAAAATGTAAAAAAACAACAACAACAACACCATAAACATATAAAGCTTATTTATTTGACCATTAATCAGACAACTGACTTTGTTCAGCCAGCTTCTTGTTCTAAGTATAAATGTTCTTTTTATAGGAAGCTGTTGGTGTGGATAATAAACAATAAACTATAAGCTTAAGGCAAGCTAGAGATGGAACTTCTCGATGTGTTTATTTTGGATTTCTTGTACCCTCTCTATTGTTATCTGAGAAGGCTCTCTAAGAGTTTAAAGGAACTGGCTAGTTTTAAAGTAGCAGTGGTTATGCAACATTTTATTCTTCTTCTTAAACTTGCTAGCTTTTAGTAACTCTAAGTATTGGGTTACGTTGTTTCACTCTGTCACACAATGTAAGGCTTGCTTTGAATGACACAATCTGTGTGTTATTTTAATACTGCCCAGAGAGCCTCAGAGAAGGTCCCTTTAGGACTAGAAGTGTTCAGGTTGAGGCATGAATAATAACCAAATTTGGTTTATGGTGTGTTTGCTTTGGACACTATGCTAAGAGGACTAATCTTTTGGTGCAGTTATATTTATCTTTTGATTAAATCAATACTATACACCCCCCCCCCATATTTTATAAAACTAAGAATTTATCACTTCTCCCAAACCCCCATGATTTCTTCTTTGAAGTCAACTTTTGTAACTTATCTCAAAATATACATTTCTGATATTATGAACTTGCTACTGTCTTCCCATTTTATCCTCAGGAGATAATTGGTCCAAAAAATATTAAAATTATTAAAATATTCAACCCAACTGCTCAGGGTTGAATGCATGCATTTTCTTTTGGGTGGATAAAGTAGGGTGGATGACTCCTTTCTGTCCCTAGGTGCTCACAACCTGCTTGGCTTTAGGAACTCCTCTACTTAATGGTATTTTTTGCTACATAAAGAAGGCAAATGTGTCAAGATTATACTCTTACAACCATTTGTTTCTGAAGATCTTCCTAATAATTCTCTTAAAAAATCAACCTTTGCAAGAAGAGAGAAATGTAGGTAGCAGATATTTTTTTAAAAACATATTTTTATTGATTTTTTTTTTTTTACAGAGAGGTAGCGAGAGGGATAGAGCATTAGAAACATTGACCAGCTGCCTCCTGCACACCCCCTACTGGGGATGTGCCCGCAACCAAGGTACATGCCCTTGACTGGAATCGAACCTGGGACCCTTCAGTCTGCAGGCCAACGCTCTATCTACTGGGCCAAACCGGTCAGGGATAGGTAGCAGATATTTTTGACAAGTTCTATAGAGCAGACTTTCCAGACAGGCTGACTAAATGTCACTGAGGTAAGACGGTGATCACACAAACATCCTCGCACCTCCTCCTATGACCACTGCCACCACATGCTATTTGAGTTCTGAGTCAACATTTGAATTCTGGGTCAGAAAATACAAATATTGAAATCCATTGGTTCTTCTGAAACTTTCCAGTTAGCTTAATAAAGTCATTAAGTATGTAAAGCAACTACTTTCTGTTCCATCTAAGAAGGGCTCGCTAGCAAATGGTGTGGGATGCAGTTGTTTTGTTCATCTGCTCAGGTCAATGACAGTGGTCACAAACTGGAACTAGGAAGCTGTTTATGCCATTTGACTAGAAATTCAGAATTTAGTGCTTAATGGAGAATATTGTTCAACTTTTCAATGTGCCACCAGGACTGGATTGATTTGAGACATAACCCGCATGCGTGCTTGCCTCCATGAGCGGTGCCATTAGAACGGCTACATTTCTTGAACGGTTACTTGTATGTTTTCTGCTGCTTCTTGCCTTTGTGTGTACCTAAGTATCTTGTTACAAAGGCAATACTGGATGAGTAAATTGATGTTTACTTTAAAAAGGGAATAAAAACATCTTAGATCTAGGGTGTGCACTCAACATACTAGGGTGAATCTAATATACATGAAACATACACTAATTGATCTCATCTAAACCATAACCCCTTTACTATTCATCCTTTTTTTCTTCCCTATCTGACATGAAATTTTCATTGAGTCACTCATTTAATAGACAATGAGGGAATTACCTTTATAAACCAAGAACATTTCATTGGGGGGAGAGCCTGAGAAGGTTCTGTTTATCATAACTCCTTTTTGGAACAATGTCTATGTATGAACTGTATAGTTTAGAGAAGGCTTTCATCTAGATGATCTCACTGGAAACTCTTCTAGCTTGCTATTCTTAGCATGGAGGTCATGAGATAAGGGACAGACAACAGCCTTACAACTTTGCGGATGGATGCAAGGTGAGAGCCCCATGTCCTCAGCAGTCAGTACACAAGAGGGAAATGAGACAAGAAAGGGGCATTCAGGTGATGGAGACACTTTAGGGTAGGTGTTGAAATGTGAGCCAAGGAGAAAACCAAAGTCAGGTATAGATCTCTCAACACCTCTAATGGGATGGGGGCCTAAATTTTCTCCAATGAAGGGTGCTGGTATGGATGAAGTAACCTAGGAGGCAGTATAGCTTGATGATTAAGAGCATGGGATTTGAAGTTAAACCTGTGTTCTGATTCCTGCAAAGGAGAAACTGGAGAGAGTTGGGCAAATCACTTTACCTATTGGAGCCTCAGTATCCTCTTCCAGAAAATGCAGCAGTCGCTCATTTATAAGTAACATAACAAATGCAAAACAGTAACTAGTGCTTGGTCATACTTGGTGCCGTCTGTTCTGCTAGGGCATATTCCTGTCACATTAATTGCCTCATCATGATTGGCAGATGGGTAAGGGCATGTTAGTTTACTATGGGCGTTAGATTGTTTTATTTTTGATTTTCCTGGGGATAAGATCTGGTTGGAAGGAATAGAACTATAACCTCCCTTGGCTGCTGACAGGCAGCAGGAGCCCTTTCTGCCGTCTTTTAAGAAAATTAAAAACAAGTGTCTGCTCCTGGGCCTCGCTCCCCGGAGAAGCGCTGCCCCTGCCTTGCGGGGCTCTGGCTTATGGCCGACTGTACCACCTCCTGCACTCACTTTTGTGACCGCCCTGCCTCAGAGACCCACTGCCACCAGCATTTCATTGGCACCCCGCCAGCACCAGGCCATTTCAAGGGTCAACAGTATCTGGTATCCTGCGAGGCAGCCTTTGGCCATTTTCACATGCATGTCTCAGTGATCCAAGTTACCTTCCTAGGTACTAATAACTCAATAACTATGTGTGTTAGTGCTCTGGTTTCTACCTAATGCTAACTCATCAACCTTGCTATTTCTGTTCTTGTTAAAGTTTTAAAGTTATTTTTTATGGGTGAATAATGACCATACCACAAAAAGTTCAGATCTTAACTTTATTGTTCAACCAGTTTGACAAATGCGCAGGGAAACACAGAATTTCTATAGCCCCAGAGAGCTCTCCTGTGCCCTTGCCGGTCACTCCCCCTTTCCGCCATCACCACCACAAGGAGCAACCACCGATCTGATCTCTGTCACTGACGGGTTAGTTCAGCCGATTCTGGAAGTGAGTTATACAGTATGCACTGCGTATGTGCCTGCCTGCTTTCCCTCAGCATAGTATTTATCCGTGTTGTGTTTACCAGCGGTATGCCCTTTTCATGGCTTAGTTGTATGTCTCTGTAGGAACATCCCATAATTTGGTTATTTTTTTTTCCTAGTGGACATCTAAATTATATGCAGTTTTGAGTTGTTATAGAGAAAGATGCTATGAATATTCATGAATGGGTCTTTGTGTGGACATATGTGTTTTTAAAAATATATTTTTATTGATTGCAGAGAGGAAGGGAGAGGGAGAGAGATAGAAACATCAATGATGAGAGAGAACCATTGATCGGCGGCCTCCTGCACACCCCCTACTGGGGATGGAGCCTGCAACCTAGGCATGTGCCCTGACTGGGAATAGAACCGGTGACCTCTTTCGTGCATGGATCGACACTAAACCACTGAGCAACACCAGCTGGGCATTGCCCATTTTCAAATTAGTACATTTGTCCTTTTGTTATTGTGTTGCAGTTGCAGGATTTTTTTTACATAAATTATATAAGTCCGTTGACAGATATATGTCTTGTAAATCATTGTAGTTTTCAATGAACCCTGGTATTTTTAATGCACAATTTTATTGAACATGACATAACATATATTGTTATAAAAGTCCTTATTCCCTAAAAGTCAACCATAATTGATAGCTAAAATTATTTCAGCTCTAATATTATGGTTTTGATTTTCAACAGTCAATTAATTGCAGGCCTTTGCCTGAAAGCCTCATTGCACAGTCATTTAGAAAACTGTTTTATCTCAGCTTCTTCCAAAGGCAATGTATCCAAGACACCTGCTCCCAGCCTACATCACAGATGGCAACAGCAGGGGATGCAGTGCCCATTTTTTTCCTGCTTCCATGCGAAGCCTAAATGTCCTAGAGACATGGCAGGTCCAGCTCCAGATACATGAAGGAGAATGCAAAGGTGAATGCAAATTAGGGTCATAAACCAGCTTGTTTTGCCTTGTGAAACATATGGAAATAGTTGCTACACATTGCACAAAGCATCTGTTGAAATAAGGTTTACAATTTGAATGTTTGGAGACGGACTGTTTCTAAAACCCAAGATTGCCTCGTAGGAAGGCAGATGGGCAATTTAGACAGTCTTATACTAACTTGTTATTTCTTCTGAAACACAAGTTAAATTTGGAAATTCAAAGACAGTGTTTTGGAGATATACAACCCTCAGAAACATAATGTTCCTGGCCGCTTTTGAAAGCTTTGGTTGCTGTTGCTTAGATGTAGGTCAAGAAGAGGATGGGACCTTATTTCTTAATATAGTTGATGCAGAGAATTTAAAAAAATTGAATATTTATTAAAGTTCTAAGTATTAAGAATTTTTTTCAAGTTTAAATTACTCAAATATGTTAGAAACGAATGTCCCAGTGCATGGATTCGTGCACATTGAAAGGAAAGTAATTAGAAGAAATATTTTAATACCGCTATTCGCCCTTTCTCTATAATAGAAGTGTCAATCAAATTCACAATCAACAATGACAGATCGAAACACACGCGTGTGATTGGCGCCAGCAAGAGCTTTATATATATCGTGCTTGCATGAGTCAACTTAGCCTTTTATATATGTAGATAGACTTACTTAATTAGACCTGCTTTCTGATTTAGCTAAACTTTTTCCAGCCCAGTGAAGCACCCCAACTTCTCTTTTAGGTAATTGTCAGCAACACAGCAATAAATATCAACATGAAGCAAATTACTGTTGTAGATCACGCAGGGAGAAAAAAGGGTAAAATATTTAACTGCAGCAGTGTTTGACTATATTCTGCGCAGTGAGAAAACCTGAAATCATTTTCAAGCTCCACCATTTCTTACTTCTTTTCAGTCGGGTCAAGTTTCTAAACTTTCTAAATCTCCCTTGTCTTGCTTATGAAAAGAAAATAGGATTCTACTGAGTCTCCTATCTACCTACTCCAGGACTTCTGTGAGGATCAAATGAGATAAGGCATGGGAAAATGCTTCACAAACATTTGGTTGAACTATAAAATGCTTGCATCTGGTTATAAAGTAAGTTGGGCTCCTGGGCTGAAGAAACTCCAAGGAGGCTAGTCACTAGGGAGAGGAAGCTGGGCATTGCTACATGATGTCATTACCTGGTGCCCACAGCGATTGTTCTGGGCTGGGCTGGGCTGGGCTGTGGGCCACACTTTGCACCATGGGTCTCAGCAACATTGGCTGCAATTGGTGGGGTGTCACTCCAGAGTGGTGACAGGGCCTGTGTCCCACTTGGCGGAAGCCAAATGTTGATTTGTGGCTCCAGGCCCGTGGTCCTGTTTATTTTTAAATGGCCAGCGCGTGTCATGTCAGCACCTGCATTGAGCATCTGCCCGCTGGTGGTCAGTGCTCATCATAGCTACTGGTCGGAGGGAAGGACAGACACTTAGTCTTTTATATATAGAGATAGTTTTAAAAATATATACTTCCTTCTTAGTGGGGCTAGTATCACTATCTCAAGCTTAGTTGAGAAATTAGTTATTTTTTTAAAATACTCTTACAAAATAGAATTTTACGTGGGTAAATTTCCACATAATTAAAAATTTTAAAGGCTTTTTTTCTGAAAATAATTTAAATTAGATTATGTATTTATTTTTATATATATTAGCATTGTTTTCATGGCTCCAAATATCTTCAGGCAATATCAAACATTTTTTATTTAGTTTAAGATGTGTTTTGGACACCAGAGTAGCTGCTGTTAATTTTCTTGGCTGTTAGTGATGAAAAAAAAAATAGTGGCAGCTATTAATAGTCCTCCATCTAGCAGAGCTTCCTACCCTCGTTTAATTTTTGTTTTTAATCATCTGTGGGCTGAGAACACAGTCAGCTTGTGAGAATTATATATAAATTCAGAGCCCACTTTCCGAGTGGAAGTACGAGGCATTCCCACATGAAGAAAAGGCATGGATATCAACATCTATTTTGGTTGTTCAAAAGCATTGGGCCTGTTTTCTGGTTCTTGGCTATATCTCCAAAGAGTGTGGAGTAACATGTAAGTAATATGTTACTATGTAGTTCAAAGAGTTAAATAGTATTTTTTCCCATTTCCATTATTCTGGAGATGAGAATTTGGAAGTTATTGGGAAGCAGATTTTAGTTAAGCCGACACATATTTTTAATTTCACAGAAGAGTACAGTGAATTCAGCACCGAACTGTGAGTCTGATCTCAGTTCCAAGAATAAACCAGTTATCACTTCAGTCCTCTGGGCATCAGTGCTCGCATGATCTCAGACCTGCTTGTAGGACTCTGGGATTCTAGGCCTTACTTCTAGGGCTCCCATCCTTACAGCTCACATGCAGGCTTATTGTAGAGGATGTCCATATTGGTAGGGTTGGACTGAATGACCTCTAAGGTGTATTCCCAATTTAAGATTGAATAATCTAAGACTCACATCTAGAAGACAATTCACTTGCATCTATCAAGTTCAAGTTTAAATACCTAAGAGTGGTAATGGTTTTGCTGCTCCCACCTGCCTTGTTCTCCTGTTGCTTTGTTTTCACAAGTGGCCAGTTGGGAATGCCACTCTCAGAAGTCCTAGTTTTCTCTCGCCTTTCCTCCGGCCCCCAGTTTAAAGCTGTTAAAGGTTTATGAAATGAATTAAGGGAAAATGAAATATTAAGCTGGTTATGAATTCTCTTTACAGCAACAATCAAGTCACTAAGAAAGAAGTTAATCCAAGGACAGCTCCATGGCTTGCTGTTTCAGGTAAAACAAACAAAAACAAACAAACCTCTGCAATATGTGTTTAGTGTGGGGATGATGTCCAAACTGTGTAAGGTTCCAAAGCTAATTTATAATGGGCAGTAATTTTCATCATAAACTTAACTAACCAACTTAGAAGAAAATGGTGGACTTTGTCGTCTTATGCACTGAAAATGGTTAGCAAAACAAGAGGGAAGAGCTCATATTAATGAATAGCTTGTTGGAGACATTACATTTTTCAAAGAGGAGGCATTTCAGAATTCATTATCCATTAGGAAAGGCCAGTTTTCAGTCTCAGGCACCTCCTTTCTGACACACTTGAATGGGCTTTGATGGTTACTGCCTCTTTTTTCTCCTGTTTGGATTAACCTTTCGACTCCTGTCTAGATATCTCAAGATATCCATGGGAGAGTTTAATGTATTTCTTTTCCTTATGACACTTGGTGAATTTCTTCTTTTCGTTCATAAATGAAGAACATAAGGAACTGGAGGGGGAGGAGAGAAGGGTGATATTCACATGTATCTGTTTCCAGGCCATAATATAGGCACATCTGGTTAAGCAGGAAAAAAAAAGTTTTATTCATGTGGGAGATTAAGCTAGGCAGAGTTCCTAAAAAGCCCTCTGCAATAAGTTGAACTGGAAAAAACCTCCTTATCTAAATATGCTTTAATCATTTTAAGAACACCAGTAAAGTTTTCTATTATAACGTAACTATGATAGTATGTAGCTACCTCTTGGACTAAGGCCATGATTTTATTGCTATATAATTTTTATTGGTACCATTTTTACTATTCTGAGGTATGTCTCCCAACAAGCTTCTTTGGCCTCTGCCTAAAGATTTCAATGACCAGTCAGTTTCCTGTTCCTGACCTTTGGCCTTTATTTCTTTAGTAATGGGGAAAATAGCAACGAGAGGTTAACAATTACAAACTTGTTCCCTTAAAGCAGAACACACAATAAAGAACTGGTAATTTTCACCCTCTTCAGGTAGCATTATCTTCTCTTAAGTCTAATATGTTCTGTATCTTTGACTCTTTTTCAACATTCTGTCTTTGACAACATTCCACAATTTTCTCTTTACAGAGCTGTTTAGACGAGGAATTTCCTCATTATGATCCTTTGTCCTGCACAGATACAATTCAACAACGTCTTCAAGAACAACTGGTAAGTTTAAGCTTCTTGAAACAGTATAAGTGCCATTATTAATGAACTCTATGCCAAAATATAAAATTAAGTCCAGACCTAGAACTCTATACTGTAGATGGAAACCTATTTATTTTCTTGAGCATGTTCATGAACACAATCCTGGTAGACCCTAAAAAGAGGTGATGTTTAAATATTTTTATTGTAGTATTGTGAAGAATTATATAACTAAGCTTGCCCCTCACCCATAACTCTTTCCTCAAAGCCTTTGTTTATATGAAAGTGTCAATTACTGGGAATTGATGATATTAACATTCTGTTAAACTATTTAACTGTGATTTTGAAAATTTTATTTCTGTTGTTGAGGGTATTATAGGTGTTCCCCATTTTCCCCTGCTTTGGCCCCTCTGCCTGGCTCCCACCTATCCCAGGCCTTCACTGTACTACTGTCCGTGTCCCTGGGCTATGCATATAAATTTTTTGGTTAATCTCTTCCCCCCATCCTTCCCTCTGAGATCTGTCAATCTGTTGCATGCTTCCACATCTCTGGACCTTTTTGTTAATATGAGTGAGATCACGTGATATTTGTCTTTCTCTGACTCACTTATTTCGCTTAGCATAATAATCCCCAGGTCCATCAAAGCTGTTTCAAAGTGCTGGGGTCCAATCCCAGCGGGTCCAGGGGTCCCCAAAGGTGTGGACGGAGTCGGCGAAGAAGAAATGACACGAAGACAGCCTTCAGTTGATCAGCAGCCTAGTCAGGACCTCTAGCCAGGATCTCCAGCCAAAGTTCTGGTCGGAGTTCTGGTTAGGAACTGATGAGGATCTGATGAGGATCTGATGTTTATTGTCCTGCCACATTCACATTTATACCAGCCGATTCCAATCCTGTCAATTTCTATTACAAAGGCCAGGGCGTTTCTTATCTCCATTCCAGGGAGTAAAGACCATGTAGCTTAAGCGTGATTGTTCTTATTTAAAGTGATTAACTACCCGCCTGGCACTTAGTTAAGGGCTTTTATTCCCTCCCTAACTTCAGGGAAAAATCCCTACCTGGGGAAACAACCTTTCTCGGAGAGGTGACCTTGGTTAAAACACATAGCGCCAAGAAGGGGAGCAAACATTAAGAACAGTATACCATATACGCCAGGTCCCTTGAAACATGCTGTGCAGATGTTTCTTCTCTGCAGCGACTGTGTCAAGCAGCAAGGATGGACCGGCTCCCGGCATCAAAGGACAAGAGAATTGATTATGTTATCATTCTGTTCAGTTATGGAACTGTGGTTTTTAATAAGAATTATACTTTATGCATAGAGCAGTGATGGCGAACCTCTGACACGCGAACTCATTTTTTTGGTTGATTTTTCTTTGTTAAATGGCATTTAAATATATAAAATAAATATCAAAAATATAAGTCTTTGCTTTACTATGGTTGCAAATATCAAAAAATTTCTATATGTGACACGGCACCAGAGTTAAGTTAGGGTTTTTCAAAATGCTGACACGCTGAGCTCAAAAGGTTCGCCATCACTGGCATAGAGTATACTCTTTGATCAAAGTCGTGAAAGCTTTGTTACTTGGCATCATTAATTTTCTTCCTGACCTCTCTTGCAGGGTTATTTGAGACCAGTTATATTCTTTCTACCTTTGGAGATGAAGAGAGTAGATTATAAAATGTTATGTTACACCACTTTAGATAGCTAATGTTACTTGACTTTCTTTTCAGAAGCAGTGTGGCCATAAACAACATCGTGGTCAAGAAGCAAGAATACAGAAGACTCCCCTGACCTTCAAACATACATGCTGGTACACACCCCTGCTGGGTAAGCCTGGATAGCCCCTCTCCCAGACCTTATCAGACAGAGCTGGGGTAGGGTTATTTTTGAAAGGAAAATAATCACAATTCTATTTGTATAGGAAGAGTTGCTGAATATTTGGGTATTTATCCCTGAATTTATGTTTCAGCACCTACTCTATCAACTTACGTTTCAGCACCTACTCTATGCCAGGCCCCATATTATGTATAATAGAGATTAAGTCCTAAAATAGCTCACAGATTATTGGTGAGATAGACCTGAGCTCAGAGAAGGCTCCGTAAAAGAAATGAGAGTTGAACCAGGCCTTGAAAGATGGGTTGCATTTGGAAAAGTAAAACTCGTGGAAAAATTATTTCAATTGGGGACAATGAATGAGGAAGAATGCAAGCCTAGAAGAATGCAAATTCCTAAGTGCTTGAAGAAGAGTCAAATCTGGACAAGTCATTTTGAACAAAGAGGAGTTGGATTGGGACACAGTAGAATCTAAGAGTGGAGCAGGTAGTGGGTTAAACTGTGGACTACTATTCAATGTTAGGCTAAAGAAAAAAAGCTTTAGATTAGGAAATGCTCAAAGTAGCGACATCTCTCATCACCACCTGGATGTGTTTAAAGCAAAAGGTAATCGCTGGTTCGGAAATGACAAAATAGGATGATTATCAAAATAAACTTAAGAAGGAATGAAAAAGAAGTGATTTGTGGATCATCTCAAGTACAGAAAGGAAAACTACTGCCACTACCAGTGGAATGGCCATTTGGTGTCAGACAATGATTAGTGCTAGAGGTGATTTCACTAACATTAGCTCAGTGGTAGCAGTGACACAACTACGGCAGCACTGCTATGTGCCAGGCACAGTTCTCTGCTCTTCACATATTTATTAAGTGATTTAAGTCTCACCACATACCTAAGAGGTAGATGCTAATTTAATTCTCATTTTAAAGATAAGAAGCATTGAGTTACTAATTAGCCTAAGCTCATGTGTCACTTTATATGCAAGTAAACTGAAGCTCAGTGTGGTTTAGTTATATATCCAAGATCACACAACGGGTATGTGACAGAGCCAGTATTTGAACTAAAAATGTGTGATTGACTCCAAAGCCTAGATTTTCCCCCTATTTTCTATAGTCATTAAAACAAACAAAAACTGTGTGTTACTCTGACAGGTTCCCACCACAGTGTCTTTTCTCTTTAGGGATAGTAAACTATTTCTTTAAAGGGCCACATAGTAAATATTTTAGGTTTCACAGGCCATATGGTTTCTGCAGCAACTACTCAACTTTGCTGTTGTACGCCCAAGCAGCCATGGACAATACTGAATGAATGGGTGTGACTGTGTTTCAATAAAACTTTATTTACAAAAACAGACAGCTGTCTGGATTTTGCCCTCTGGCTGCAGATCCTTGAACCGCCCCCCCCCCACACACACACTCCTAGTTGCTTAGTAGGGTTTTCTGAACCCACCCCACCTCTTTCCCCCCTGCTTTGAAAAACAAACAAACACTTGGCATTTCTACCCTATATAATGAGACATCAAGGGAGGGAAGGGTTATGTTCAAGTGTTAATAGAATTGAATTGACTTCTGCTTTTTCAGAAATGGCCCCATCTCAAGAGAGAGAAAGAAAATACACATATTAGTTTAAACCAAAAGTAAATTCGTTTTTATTCTTTTCTGTTCTGCTACAGATGCCTTGGATCTGCCTTGGATCTGGATAGTCTTACACTAATTCCAAGACCGTCACTGACACCTTTCTCATGTATAGCTAACCAAATCCATGCTCCCCACATATGGAAAAATAGAGGATGGTGCCTTGGATGTGACTAGAACACACAAGTAAGTTAAAAGAGCAAAATATACCAAATATACCAAATATACCTACGCTCCTCTTCTTGGGTGGCCTGTTCCTATTGCCTGACCTTTTAATCATTTAGGTTTTCATATCCTGAGATCATAACATCTTTATTGTGGAATTTTTCTCGTATAAACTCTAACTTTTTGAACATTGATAGTTTTAAAACAAAAATGGCTCTGTGGTTTTCTTGAAGTGCAGTTTTCTTGTTCTTTTGAATTTCATAATATCCACTTGGAAATGTAATACACAAAAAAATTAGGCTACCTAAAATGTTTCTCAGTGTTTGGAAATATACTATGCACTGCTACGTTCACTTAGCTAGGTTTTGATCACACATTTATTCCTTCGCACTCAGGGTTCTCAAGCCTTTGGGAACCCATCCCTGTCCTCACACACACCCTCCTCTGAAGCTCATCTGCACTCGCTTACCTTTCTCAGTGAACAGACTGACCTTCCCTAGGAAGAGCTCAGGAATGGCAGTGGAGTTTATGGGCGCTATCCACCCCATTGAAATTTCTCTCCTGAATTAAGGGTGAGGAAGCAGGGCTTTGAATTGCAAATTCTTCATTTTCATCTTTGGCTAGATTCTCTGTAGTTTGTAACCTCTCTCTTATGACAGTTGGAGCTCTCTTTCATTATACCTTATGAAATCCATGAATCCATAGAGCTCAATTAGGAATTTTGTAAAACTGGGGCGGGGGGCAGGGGAACTATGCTGTAATTTGGTATCTGCTGAAATGGGCAATTTTCCCACCTGTAGTAATAAACTTCTCCATTGCCAGGTTCCCAGGCCCTACAATTGGCCCCCACCCGGGAACAGATCTTTCTAATTGCATCAGGATGAATGATGACCTAAGTATGGAAGTGAGTGTTGGACTATATTTTAACTTCACTTTTAGGACTACTATAGGTCCTTTTCTATGCTAGTCTTTCCTTTTTCTTTCTTTCTTTTTGTTTTTTTTTTTGGGGGGGGGGGTTGTTTTTGTAAATACTGATGACTTAAGTTATGTGAGTATTTTCATCTGTGCAGGTAGCTGGCTCCCCTAACCCTTGAGTTATTCAAGGGTCAACTGTATTAAGGATATTCTTATAGCAAGTATGAGTCTTACACCACAAAACTCAAATGCATAAGAAATGTCAATCTTGGAGGGCAGGAAATTAAAATTCATTTATTGGGGTTTTTCTACCCCTCTGTAGTAGAAACTCAAGAATATATAATCAAAAATTTGTAATGACGTGTGCTAAACTTTTTGTTTGAGAGGCAGGCTGGTTTAGGACTTAAATCCACTAATGACTAATAAGAAGTCTCAGGTCCCATTGACTGACTCTTTAAGAATTGAGCTTAAGGCTAGATCTTTGAAGTGCTACTTTGTAAAAAATCATACAGTAGGGCAATACTCAGAGCATATCATATTTGCTGCAGTGAAGTGCCAACAGTACTTCTCCACCCAAGAAAAGAATAACACTAAAGGACTGAGGTCACTTAGGCAAGCTCCCAGGTCAGGAAGATGTATCTTGAGCTCCTTCCTTGGTCTACAGTCTGAGCTCCATGAGCTTCTCAATCAAATGGAGCTGACAGTTCTATTTCAGGACCTGACAATCCACGTTCATTCATATACCAAACAATTCATCAATTTAAATTATTCAATTAAATACATTTCAATATATTCACAGTTGTGCAACCATCACTGCAACCAATTTAAACACATTAGTTCACCCCAAGAAGAAACTTTATGCCTATTAGCAGTCTATCCCTATTACTCCCCCTCCCCCAAACTCTAACCTTTAGGCAACCACTTATCTACTTCTATCTCTATAGATTTGCCTATTCTGGATATCCTATATAACAAAAGGGTAACATGCAAATTGACCAAACTGTGGAACGACCGGTCACTATGACGTGCACTGACCACCTGGAGGCAGACACTCAATACAGGAGTTGCCCCCTGGTGGCCAGTGCACTCCCACAGGGTGCGCACTGCTCAGCCTGAAGCCAGGCTCATGGCTAACGAGTGCAGCGGCAGTGGCGGGAGCCTCTCCCGCCTCCATGGCAGTGGGAAGCAGGCCTAAGCCAGCAGTTGGACATCCCCCGAGAGCTCCCAGACTGCAAGAAGGCACAGGCTGGACTGAGAGACACCGCCCCCCACCCTGAGTGCACGAATTCCGTGCACCAGGCCTCTAGTCTTATATAAATACAATGTGACCTGTTGTGCCTGGCTTCTTTCACTTAGCATAATGTTTCAAGGTTCATCTATCTTATAAATATTTTATTCTTTTTCTTTAACTGAATAATATTTCACTGTATGGATATACCACTTTTATTTACCTATTAACCAGTTGGTAGGCATTTGGGTTGTTTCTACTTTTTGGCTATTGTGAATAATGCTACTGTGAACATTAGTGTATAAGTTTTTGTGTAAACATATGCTCTCAGTTCTTTTAGGGTATATATCTAGGAGTGGAATTGCTGCATCATATGGTAACTCTGTTTAACATTTTGAGGAATTATGAAACAGATTTCCAAAGTAGCTACATCATTTTACATTTCCAACAGCAGTGTATGAGTATTCTCATTTTCCCCACATCCTTGTCAACACTTGTCTATCTTTTCTGATTATAGCTATCTTAGTGGGTGTAAAGTGATCCCTCATTGTGGTTTTGATATGCATTTCTCGAATGACAAATGCTATTGATCATCTTTTTATATACTTGTTGACCATTTGTATGTCTTCTTTAGAAATATGCCTACCCAGATATTTTGCTCATTGTAAAAAAGGGGTTATTTTTCTTTTTACTATTGTGTTATACAAGTTGTTCTCATTCTTCTTTTTAAGTGTCTGCGCCTGACACTTTGTGTTCCTTAGTACCCATCCTACTGAGTAGCTAAGAAAAAGGAAATGAATCTTTTTCTATTAACAGTTGTAAAGTTTTAATAAAGGAAGTTGAACTTGGAAGCATATAGGATATTTGGGAAGCTTACAGGATGTTTGTTTATTAGTAATTTCCTTTTTATCTGGCACTGATTTCACCAAGAAGGAAGAAACAAACATCAGTTATATACTAGGTACTTTGTAGGAAAGCATTTCCACATCATGTTATTAATCCTCTCTGCAACCTTGATCGTAGGTATTCTCTACTTTTACAGATGACACAGTGATGTTCAGAGAGGTTAAATAACTTGCCCAAAATTACTCAACTAGTAAGCAGAAAACATGGGATTCAAATTCAAATTTGTCTAGCTTCACAGGATAAGCTGTTCTCACTGCCCCTCTTAGAACATTGAGTTTGGGCGTTTCAATCATAACTTGGAAGTAGTTTTTTGGCTAAGAAGTGTTCTGGCTTATGTATCTAAAGGACCTCCCAATCCACTCTCATTAGAATATGTGTCTGGATTGTTTTGTCTATGGTATTGATATCTATTAAAAAATAGAAGCTAACAGAGATCACAATAGAAACTCATTTCAAATGCTGTAGGGGATGGGAGGAGGGAGGTCCCTGAAGGTTTACCTGTTGTCTTCTGTGACATTTCTTCTCCAGGAATGAGGCTGTCGGCTGCATGTTGTAGCTGTTACCACCAATTCTCACCATTCCATTTCCAGGTTTCTGATCCACTGAAATCTGCACAGCCTGTTTGCTGCACAATTCACTTCCTCATGCCTGTCCCTTGAGTAAATCCCTGCCTCTCACCCCACCGTGCCCCAACGCCCATTTCTCAAACAAGTGGAAAGCCCTCCTTAGAAAATGCTTTCCTAAGCATTCTCATTAATAATAAGTACAAGGAATTAGAATTAAATATGAGATGAAATATATAAAATCATAATCTGTGTTCATCCCAGTGACCCATAAATCATGGTGTTTTCTTCACTCTTTGCCTTCAAACCATAGAAGTTTTGTTATTCTTGAGAGCCTCCATAACAAACAACATGACCTGGCATTTGAGCCCCTGTCTTATCTGGTCACAACCTAACTTTCCATCCTTTCCTCATCACTGCCTATGTTTGTCCCTACATGTCAGGCAAGCCAGGTAGTGTGTCTTGTCAGAATATATCACACAAACCTGTTTATGCTGTTTACCGGAACCATTTACACGTCTCCATTTCTCACATTATATTCGACTGTCAGGCCCATTTCAGAAACCAACACTGCCACAAAACCTGTCTTGTGGAAGCAAAAAATTTCCATAGTAAGCATCCCTAGTTTTCCTTGAGGTAGACATCATAATGCATCAGAAGTCAAGAGACCAGGTTTTTCCCTGGTTCTTTTTCTGTGTAACTATGAAAAGGTCATGTCTTTCAGGCCTTGGTGTCTTCATTTCTCAACTATCCCACTCAGGAAAATATAAGTTCTTTTAGACCCCAGTCTCTCTTTGTTCTCCCCTATTGTCACCTATATTCTGGTTCCCTTATAATTCTTTGTTTTCTTCTATTTATTTCTGTAGTAGATTACCTTGGTGGAGAGTGCCCTTGTTTGGCCATTGACCAATGTGCATCTAGCTTCCTACATGAATTTGGTGAACAGTGGCTTTCCCATTAATAATTATTGAATGCCCATTTACTTATTTATTTTTGTACTTCCTTCATGGTCTATTTAAGATATTGTGAGTGAACACTATTGCTTTCTGACTCATGTTTTTAGACTGGTGTTCCTGAGAACTTGAGGTTTATTTTGTTTTATTTTATATTTTTTTTATAATCCTCTCCCAAGGATATTTTTCCATTGATTTTTAGAGAGAGTGACAGGGAGGGGAAAAGATAGAGAGAAACATTGATGTGAGAAAGACACATCGATTGGTTGCCTCCTGCATGCACCCTGACTGGGCTGGGAATCGAGCCTGCAGCTGAGGTACGTGTACTTGATTGGATTCCAACCCGAGACCCTTCAGTCCATGGGTCAACACTCTATCCACTGAGTCAAACTGGCTAGGACTTGAGGTTTATTTTTTGTTCCTCTCCCACATTCATAGAGGAAGCTATATTTTAGCCTCTTATTCGGAAAGCACAGTGTAAGATAAAAGTGAACATCATCTCTCTCACATTGATGTGTCTCTCTCCCTCTCCCTTCCTCTAGAATCAATTAAAAAACACACAACTTTCCATTGCCCAGCCAGTGTGTCTCAGCGGTTGAGTGTCAACTCAGGAACCAAGAGATCACTGGTTCAATTCCTGGTCAAGGCTCATGCACAGGTTGCAGGCTCGATCCCCAGTAGCGGGTGTGCAGGAGGCAGCCGATTGGTGATGTTTCTCTCTCATTGATGTTTATCTCTCTCTATCCCTCTCCCTTCCTCTCTCTCTAAAAATCAATAAAAACATACTTTTTTAAAAAAGGTGAACATCAGTATTCATAAGAGGATCTTTGGTCAGAAAAGGACTCTCACGAGATTAATATCTCAAAAAGAACAACCCATAATTTTGGGCCCAATTTGGGGCATTCTTGGGGAAGATAAAGGTACTTTATTGACCCAGGGAAATTTATTTATTTGGGATACTTTAGTGTAAAGAGGAAAGAAGGTAGTCAATTATTTCCAGTCCTTCTCTTTTAGAGATTCAGACTGAAATATTTATGGAAGTAATGTCTGTGATATCTGGGATTAGCTTCAAAACAATGTAGAGGTGAGTTTAGTGGGTAACAATATGGGTGGAACAATGTTGGGCATAGGTCGAATATTGTTAAATCTAAATAATTGAACACAAAGGTTAATCATTCTACTTTTGTATTTGTTTGAAATTTTTCCAAATAAGGACTTAAAATCTTTAGCCACTTAGCAAAAGCTTTGGGATTGAGCAGGTCTGGATTTAAGACTGGCTCTGTTGCTTTTTAGCTGTGTGAACTTGGAAAAGGGAACCTCTCTCAGTTTGGTTGAACCC